GGTTCAATCGAACCAACTAAACCGATATAACCCCAACCCTAACCCTAACCCTAACCCAACACTAACCTGCTGCCGCTGCCGCTCTCGATCCCGATCCCGATCCCGATCCCGATCGCGATCTCGTCGCTCGCTGCCGCTGCTCCCGCTGCCGCTGTCGCTGCTCGCGCCTCCCGCGAGCCTTCCCGCTGCTCGCGCCTCCCGCGAGCCCTCTCGCTGCTCGCGCCTCCTGCGAGCCCTCCCGCTGCTCGCGCCTCCCGCGAGCCCTCTCGCCTCCTGCGAGCCCTCCCGCGAGCCTTCCCGCTGCTCGCGCCTCCCTCGAGGCCTCCCGCTGCTCGCGCCTTCCGCTCCCTTTCCCGCTCGCCGCCGTCGCTCGCCGCTGCTTCCTCGTTTCTCCGTCAGCAGGTTTATACTGTTAATGCGATTATATTTATTAATTATATTATATATTTTTATATTTTTATTTAAAATTTTAAATAATTATATTTATTAATTATATTTTATATTTTTATATTTTAGCGCCTTGCTTCGCTCGGGCGAGCGCCTAGCGCCTCGAGCATTTTTGGACCTTGGCGCCTAGCGCTTTTTAAATCACTGGCCCTATACAATAATGCCCTTAAATTAATATAATTTAAATTCTTCTTTATAGTTTTTAATTAGGTCTTTTTAGGTCTGCGTCTGCCTTTTGTGACACCTCTAATACTACTGTTCTCATGTTTTATAAGTATAGCATCCGTAGGTCTTCTTGACATGTCTATGCTATCTTAGACAATGTTTTCCTTGTTTTATCCTTTGTCAGAACTTGGAACTACCCCTAATTGTTCATGAAAGAAAACATTTTATTTTCTATATCTTATAGTAAATTAAACCCTTAGTTTGTCATCATAGGTTGCAAAGATTTATATATTAAATTGTACTGGTTATAACAGCTAATCTTGCTAACTGTTATTTACTAGTTTGAGTTGGAATTAGTACCAGTAATGTCATATATCAAATATGCTCGAGTAGCACCCACACATCAGTTTTTTTGTTTTTTGAGCAATTTATTCTGGTATATTTATTTTGGATTAATGTCGAACCAGTACGGCGTAGGGACCAGTATCTAAATTCTGGATAGACTGCATACCTGATATAAAAACTGCTATTATATTGTTTATGTGTTGGGCATTTGACTGAGGTCTCTCTACAATTGTGTTTCATTAGATGAATTATGGCTGAGAAGAAAAGCAGGATGACTGCATAGTATATTGTTATTATCCTCGGAATCATTTCTTATTGCATTAAAGACTCCTAAGGCTTGTCTTCGCTCTTTTCTTATCATCCCCTTGCCCGTAAATCTACTCCCTTAAGAATGTTTTCCACGTCAAGGATTTTGGTGCCACCCAGTATGGTGCAGGCGAAATGGCGTTCCTTGCTCATAGGAGGGTACTTGAGGGAAACCATATGTATTTACACTATACAACGGACAAATATACAATTTTCAATGTCAAGAGGTCCAAATAAAATTGTTCTTTGTATTTTCTTTATACCCATTAAAAAAGGGGGGGGGGGGGGGGAGACCTAGTTTGCTAGATGTTTGTCTAAATACACGGTTATTAATCTTAAGACCAAGAAATACAATTTTGGCTACCAGACTTATGTTGGACCATGGTCGGATTGTTATGGCTCGGTTTGTTCTAATGTATTTATTCAGTAAGTTGATGTTGTAATCCTTGAAATTTATGAAAGGGAAATCTAGGGGGTGACATCATATGCATAGTGAAATAATATAAAACAAAATTCTTAAATTTCCCAAAGATGTGTTCGTCATGCGAAGATTGATGCGTAAAATCTGCGAAACTTAGAACTACGTATATTAAAGATTGTGTTATCTAGGGAGATCGTATATCTCTGAATCCCTATAGATCTCTAGGAGACGGTAAAAGAGATCAAATGTCCTCTTCTCTAGCGGTGATCCACACAGTAGGGCTGCGACGACGCTCCTCAAATCATCATCCTGCTATCTGAGGAAGAGAAGGAAAGAGGAGAATAGGAGGTGGCAACCAATAGAGGCTCTAGCCTATGAACCTTTGGTTCCCTCTTATTTATAGAGGTCCCCTATCAACTTAACCCTAATGGATCCTGCCCTAATGGATATTGAATCTCCATCCAACTACCCAAGCCTCTTAGAATAGTACATTTCTATCTAATAATCTCTCACTGGCTCTGATTAGATCTCATTCATAGGATCTAATAATTCAGGGGTTTATTGGATATCCAATAAAATAAGGGCTCCGACGGATATCTCATATCTGAACCTCTACTCATCGCAATGCCTACCATATATGTGTGACCCTCTAGACCCAATATCGAACTGGCTGTGAGTCATACCTGTCAGAACTCCTTATGACTCAGTGAATTATTATCTCCATAATAATTTACTCGACTCAATGATTGCAGACATACTAGGCCACTATGTCGTAGTCCCCAAACGATATAGAGGAATCCAATCTATTGGACCTGTCTGTTCTAAGTTACCGTGTACCTATAGTCCCTCATCTATCTAATATCCCAGAGACCGTATACCGGGCATGGTGCTATCAGACCCATACGGTTTCTACTCGAGTCTCGCTCTAATCGGATTCTTCATGAGAACTCTTTTTCTATCAATCTGAACGACCCTGGCCAGGGATTTGTCTGAGCAAGAACACATGAGATATTCCTCTCATGACACCGAGAGCGGATGATTCTCTATCAACACTCAATAGTTCTTGTAAGGTTGGCTACCACTCTTCATGACCGATTGTGCTAGATCTGGAACTTTCAGACCTATAAGTCCGGTATCAAAGAGTGGAGAACTCATACAGGATATTCTTGATGTCTCAAGTCTAAGGACTAGATACACCATTGGGACAATAGAATCGTTGTCTGACAATGAGGTATCATTAACCATCCAGTATCCCGTAAGCGGATCAATTAATGAACTCATTCTCCAGTGAGCACCTACACTGTATCCCTAGTATCTCCACACGAGCGGCTATAAGACCAGTTGCCTCCATCATATGGATGGGTATATAGCACACTAGTCTGTCCGGTTATCTCGATATCTCTCTCGAGTAACATGTGACCAAGATTATTTAGGATCTGTGTTTAAAGGCGAATCAGTCTTATTATCGTGATCTCATCATGATCTAATTCCCATTGCACAGATTCATAAACATCATAATATATATGCATATACACAACAAGCAATATAAAGTGATATAATGTCAAATAATAACAATAAGCAAAAAGACTACGTGTTAAGTCACATGTGTTATCACTCACGTGATCGGCTTACAGGGCACTTATGACTAACAATTTACATACTTGATTATTTGAGGACTAGTGAAAAATCGCTAGAGGTAAAGAAATGATGCTTCAAATTGTTTGCTTCCATTTTGATTTTTCTTTATCAAGGAAGCACAATAGTGGTGCACACAAAACAAATATCTTTCAACGTGTCTATATGTTTTTGTATGTGCCTAGAGTGTGCTAAAAGTCATCTTAAATCCACTAAGACATACTGTAGTGACTGCTTAGATGATCAACCCTTTTGGGATCATTCATAATGTACTTGAAATATTACCTCTTTCATAAACCTTGTCCCTTTATTTCTTTTCTATGAGATCAAGATATGGTCTTCCATAGTGTGGACTCATCTCATGCCAAGCCAAAATCAAAACTCTTCTTTTGCTGGTTGAACTCATTGCAAAGATATTTTGAAAATAGGGACCTGCTACAATGTTGTGCACAATGTTACTGTAAACTTTTGTTTGATAAGGATAGAAGAAGAAGAAACTCCAGCTGTATTGTGTAATCTCTTCGTGTAAGTGTTTCAGTATGAGATTTAAACCTTGTTCATTGTTGTTATCTGTATGTTTCTTCCTGCTGTGTTCATAGATTATACAATTGCCTCTCAATTACTTTTATGATTAAAAGCAAAGACAAGTATTGAAATATTGTACCATATCGAAGTTTCGACATTCGCTCGGTACGGTATGGACTATATACCGAGCAGTATACCGTTCAGTATACCGGTCGGTATATATATATATATAAGTAATCCTTGAGCGAAGATTGTAATTTAGAGATGGGACAAACTCTAGTCCTTTGCAATTTTTTTCTCTAATTATTTTTATTTTTGATAGAAATCCATCCCTCCAGGCGGTGTTGGAGTTAGCATTGCATTGGAGAAGATTCTTCTTCATTCTTCAGTAGATATCATGCCTTCCAGGTTTCTACGTGCTGTTTTGTGATTTTACAGTCTTAAAAATTGACTATTTTTGAAAGAAAACTCGTGGTCATATTTCCTTCTTTTCTTAGATTTGAATCCAGTACCCATGTTCTTGTCTGTTCAAGAGGCGGGGGTGGTCTGCTACCAGAGCGCATGGAAATTGTTGCAGAGCTATGGCAAGCCAACATAAAGGTGATGATTCTGAAAAATTAAACAACATCCACCGCTGGTAAACGAACTCATTAATTTAAAAGGGTATCTCATTCTGATAAACCATGACTTTTGTCAGGCTGAGTTTCTTCCCCAGACAGACCCGAGCCTCAAAGAACAGTACGAATATGCAAGTGAGCATGACATTAAATGCCTTATTATAATAACTGAAGCTGGTCTATCACAAGGAAGTCTAGTGAAGGTAACATATTTACAGAACTATTTTACATGGAAATTGATCATTTTCTTTAGATGCAATTTATGATAAAATCTTTGAGTCTCCACAGTCGAGTTTTTTGCCATCTGGATCATCTGCTCTGATTTTTCATGCAACTTGTTTAGAATGTGCATATTTGATTGTATACTCTGTTGCTTGTCTAAAGGATGTTTGTTACAGAATCTTAAGGCTTTATGCAGGTAACTATACTAAATTTATCTTTCCTGCTTTGTCATACTGATGCAAGTTGGTCCAAAATTGTGTTTGGTTCTAGTTCAGATAAAGTAGCTTTGGCCTTTATTGTTTCTATATTTCTGCTTTCGGAATCCATAGGAAACAATAGTCTTTGTGCCAAGCCTAGTGTTATTCAATTGTTTATATATGAGAGTTTCCTGCTTCAATAACATGGCCATCTGTAAAAGCCTCTTGGCAAGCTTGCAGCCAGCACAAGCTGTCCGACTACTTGCTCAAGTGAAACATCCTTATGAAGGATGTATTGTTGAGGGAATCTCATAAAAGGGACAACTTATCATAGCTAGGACATATGTTGATATATCCCCAGATGAGCAGGAAATACTTGAATAGAGATCAAACACAATCCATCAGGGAGCTAAACAAAGTAACCCAGGTCTGAGATAATAGATGAATGCAATCGTCACAGGAAAAAGATACCTAAGAGCAAAGATTTCTATTTATTCTAAGTTGAACACGTTCTTGGTTCATATGAGCACCATTCATTGTTATATTGCACACAGAAATCATTTCTACTACAATCCTTAAAATACATTGAAATATTTGGAAAAATAGATGAGTTGATCCAGGGATTTGAAGTTCAATCTGCTCTCAGTTTCAATAACAGGTGAAAGTATGTAGGGCTGTGTTGCCACCAATACTGCCTGGAATCACCAGAACAAGCAACAAAAAATAAACACCAGTTTGTACCAACCTGTATGACCTGGTATTGGTTCTTGGTGCGACTGGTAAAAACTGATCCATACCAACTGGCACAAGCAAGATCTGATATCTTGCATTGATATATGCGTAACGGTGGCAATCTCACATGGTGTCTTCCACTTCTTTTTTAACGGTATCAGTTCATTGTGGAGCTGGTATCCAGATCAGATGGACTGACTATTCATCAACACTACATCCAAAAAGTTCCTTTGTTCTCTCATCATACTTATTTGAAAAATTTACCTCATCGAACTAAATATTATTTTTCATTGAATCAGTTGGATGTTTCAGAGTTCAAGTCCTGCTATAACCTGTCTTCTCATTTTGGCTTGCATCATTTTCTTTTCACCGATACACCCATGTGAATATGGTTGTGTAGTTCGACTTACTGATGGCACTTGTATTGTCAGTCATCTACCAGCACAGGTAGTTGCCATAGATATATAGTATCTGAATATTGGCTTCTTAGCAAGTTGAGAATCATCTTTTTCTTAATTTCAAATTTTACTGCCGCAAAACAGTATCACAGTAGTATATTGTCATCTTTGAAGTCATCATAGTAGAGCTGCAGTGTAATATCACATATGTTGAATTGAATTCAGCAAGTTTTCAGGAAAATGTCAGAGGTAATTATAGATGTTATATTTGTTGCACAGTTCTCTTCCATCCTCCATGTTCTGTTAGATAATGCATTTCCTTGCCTTTCACTTTGCCACTTTATCTATGAAATCTCAAGTGCTTGTTTTTCCAGGTTCGCCATCTTGAATTGAAGAAAGAGAAGGAAGTTAACAGAGAGGATGTTATAAAGTTTTTAATAGAAGCAATTTCTACACAGTTCAGGAACCTTGCATTATGGACTTAATTATTTCATACATTCAAGTCTTTCACAGGTTTGTTTCCTTTGAGCACTTCAAGATTGTGTGAGGTGTTAGACATACATCATGTTCCAAATAATGTCAGAGCCCTTATCGATAAAAGATAGTAATAGCAACTACAGTGGGAAAATAATTGAGATAAAGATGTCTTTAGCAATTAAGCCTCTTGTGTGGTACATTTTCGCTGGTTTATTGTTATGTACTTGTCATCCAAAGTCACTAACAGATTTGAATTCAGGAAAGATGATGATTTAAATAAACTGTCCTATATGAGCCAAGTTTAGAGCTATTGGATAGGAGTTTTGCAGGTGGACTAGTGGGCAATTTATATATTTCATGTTTAATGCACAGATATATCATCGTGATGAATATCGTAATGTTCCATTCATTTATGGTATGAATTAAGAACGCCGTTCATAACTTGAATATATTAAGATATTTTTGTTGCAAGGAAAACTAATATGCTTAAGCCAACATTAACATTAGGATTTGATATCCAATCTGATATTGGCAAATGATATATTTAATTTGTCTACTGTTTTAGTACCCTCTTATCATATTCGATTTTGGATTACCCACTTAATTTCTTCTCAGATTAGGGCGATGCTAAACTTAACTTTAATTCGTTTTATCCGACTTAACAAGAGGTTTGTCCAGATTGTTTTCCAGGTGGCACAACTTGCGAACCTAAACCAGAACCACATAGGATCACTTAACGTTCTTACATGAATGGCTTGCATTTTCTCTTATCATGCTATCGATACAAGTATTCACTAATATCTGATCACCTAAACTAATTTGAGTTATTTTACCCCCCTTGCTTATTGTAGTCTACAGGATATATCGTTGCTTGTTTCAATTGCAGCTGCAGCTGAGGATTGAAGTGTAAATTACAATTAGGAAGGCAATTTTTCCATCTACTGGATATATCGTTGCTTGTTGACTTGTAGATGAAGTCCTTTCACGCCAAATGCAGCAGCAGCAGCTATGGTTCTATTCTTTCATTTCTTACAAATTTTGAACATTTCATGTAAATATAAAACAGTAACTAGCATTTCCCCTATTATATTGTCTCCTTTTTGTTGTGACATTTCTTCTGCGTTAAAAAGATGTATAGAACTGATGTTGTTGTATCAACAAGGGCCTGTTTTTAATATGCTTCAAAGCTCTATTACTCTCTACATTTTACCCTCTTCTCGAAGTCTCCACTTTTTCTGACTTGATTTGACTATTATTTAGCAGATAGTATGCTAGAATTATTCCTTTTTTCTAAAAGACATTTATATATAAATGTAATACAATATTTTATTTGTTTGTACTTTTCGTGTTATATATAATATGTTCGTTTCTTTAAAAGCTCATCTTTTGCAATGGATTTTTCTTATTTTGCTTTAATAAAATAATCCATTAGGTCACCTAATAATAAATAGTTCATTAGGTCGACCTAAACCACCAAACGTCTCTGTGAACCCACAAAGACGACAACTAATTTCCAGTTCAACATTACGTGCATCTCTCCACCTTCCAAAGTGCGTCCGCGGCATCGTCGACCCTCGAATTATTGTTGTTTAATATTTTCTTAGCATCAATTCCTCTTGCTTATTAATTTTTTCCCTTCATATCCGTGCTAACTTTGATTAATGACATCGTATTATTCCAGCTTAGGTGATTCCAGTGCATATAAACATCCAAGAAATCTCACCCGTTGATATCCCTAGTCATCACGTGTGGGGCGCACCGGATTAGATCCCGGGAAGCGGCGGACCCCGCGAGACGACGCCTCCCGCGTTCGCCCCACTGCGCGGGCCGTCGAATCCGGCGCTGCGGTCTCCACCAGCCGTCTCTGCCTTTTCTACGGCGCGTAACACTCCCCACCGACGCGCTTGCGCTAAACCAACTCCGCCGGCAACAGCGTGTGGGGACGAGAGGCGAAGGGCGACATGGCTGCTTTAAAGCTCGTCGCTACCGCCAGTCCTTCCGCACCACACGATAGATCGCGCAATGGAACTGACTCCGTTGCCAATTGTCCTCGTAAGGCTTTCCCTCCTTTGCCTTCGCCTCATCAGCCGCCTCCTCTATTTCCTCCCCAAGAAGCTCACCTCCCTCCTCCTCTCGCCTTCTTCTTCTTCTTCTTCTTCTTCTTCTCCGAGCCATGAGAACCCGGCTGCCTCGTTTACTTCCACGGTGGCGGCGAGGCCGGCGTCGTCCGCGCCATCCATGGACCCGTCGGAGCTGAAGCCGGTCTTCCACATGTTCGACCGCAACGGCGACGGCCGCATCACGAAGGAGGAGCTCAGCGACTCTCTCCGGAACCTGGGCATGCGCGTCCCCGAGGCGGAGCTGGCGTCCATGATCGAACGGATCGACGCGAACGGAGACGGGTACGTCGACTCGGACGAGTTCGCCACGCTCTACCGGTCCATCATGGAGGAGCGGGACGAGGAGGAGGAGGACATGCGCGAGGCCTTCAACGTGTTCGACCGCAACGGGGACGGGTTCATCACCGTCGAAGAGCTGCGCTCCGTGCTCGCCTCGCTGGGTCTCAAGCAGGGCCGGACCGCGGAGGACTGCAAGACGATGATCAACACGGTGGACGTGGATGGCGATGGGATGGTGGACTTCAAGGAGTTTAGGCAGATGATGAACGGGGGAGGGTTCGCGGCCAGTAGTTAGTAATGGCTGCAGTGAGTGTAGATAGTGACGATGATGACGGGAGAATCTCCTGAGCTCTTTTCTCAAAATGGCTTCGTGTTTTCTCTTTCTTGTTGTTAGTCTCTGTGTATTGTTGAGATCAAGTCTCAAAGTCAACCTTAGTCAACGTAACCGATAAAAAGCTTTAAACAAGTCAACCAAATTTCCAGGGTCGTTTCGGTACTCCGCTTCGTATATTGCCGCGGTGATGATTCGCTCCATTCGACCCCGCTGCGGTAGGCGAGCGCTGCGATGGGGAGTCGCGTTGCTCTGTTCCTCCCCAAACTGCGTAAAAGGTGGCATCTTTCTCGTCTCCGCCTCCATTGCTCTCCTCCTCCCCTTCGTTCCTGGTACTTAAACCCTTGCCCTAATTCCCTGATCCCACTCTCCCCCTCCTCTTCTTCGATTCGTCCGTGTTATCTCAATCCCTTTCCGTTGACAGGTCCCCTGTTTCCCCTCTCGATTCGTTACGTACTTGGTGTGTCGCGCGGAGCTTGAGTTATGCGTCGGTCAATTTCGTGCTCTCCAAAGACAGGTCTCCTGTTGTCTCTCTCGGTCCGTTCCACGTTCGTTGGGTTAAGCGGAGCTTGAGCCACGGCTCGGTCAACCTCGTCCTCAACGACGGGAAGCCGCGGTTCGAGACCCACGAGATCGAGCAGCCCAAGAAGGGGAAGTACCGGACGAAGAAGAGGCTGAAGCTGCAGCGGAAGCGGGAGAGGCGGAAGAGGAGGGAGGCGAGCAAGACGGACCCGCGAAGAATCCGGCCCAAGGGCAAGAAGAATAAGGTGAGGTTCCCCACCGCGGAGGACCGGATCAAGTATAAGATGGAGAAGGTATAAACTTAACAGATAGCTTCAAAGATTATAACCTTTTTAGATGATCGCATTCTTTATTCATATACTGCTCCCCAAAGTCTAGCACCCTTAAGAGTCTTCTTGTTCATTTGTTTTGGCTTCAGAGTATGTTTCCTTACCTCTGTCGCCTCTTTATATTGCGCATCAACTGTTTGTTGAAACGCCCAACTTTCAATGCCCACTATAGGGTCCGAAATTCATAAAATTCCTACCTCTGTCTCCTCTCTGTATTGTGCATGTTCTATTAAGATTCCAAGCTTTTGGTACCCAAGTTGATCAAATTTAGGTCTGTCTAGAAAATCTATTCATCAATGATTTAAATTGGATGGGCTTGTTTCAGATAGAGCCCGTCACTTCTTTCCTGTATCATTCTAGACTAACCTTTTTCTTGGTCATAATGTGTTCTCTCTATAAGCATCTACTCTAGGTAACATACTCAACAATCTACATGGCTTTTAATTATGCTTCGACAACCCTGAAATGGGACGAACAAGAATCGTATTGATATTGTTCCGTAATTGATTAAAAATATATGACATTTATGAATATTCCAACTAATACATTAGGTTCATGACTGAAATCATTGCACAACTAATAGAATAGGAGTACTTGCATTCGAAATTTTCTCAAATCAAGCCATTGATAAAAAGGAGAACTTACATATAAAGAATAACAGAGTAAATCAATGCTAGAAAGATACTTACACAGAGCTCTATATCTTATTGAGTTCTTTAGGGTTGTTTACTTCTTGATAGCTTCCATGTTTAGTTGGATCTATCTATGGATGAGTTCAGGCTTGTATCCCGATCAAACCAGAACCACTGAAATGGTTGAAACTTGACGAATTCCATAAAAGTTTAAGCAGGATCAGCTGAAATTCATAGCCATGTGGTTATATCCTACTTTTCTGCCAGATTAATATCATTTTGATTCCCTTTCTTTTCTTTTTTTTTTCTTGTAGAGCATGAGATCCTAGATTGATAATACATGGAACGCATGCATCTAACCGTATGGTCTTATCCATATATGATGCTCGTGTAAGAAATATCTTGCAATTGTGATTTGCAGCATCATTTCCAAGGCTAATTGTCAAAATTTTGGAAGTACTTTTTGAACCACGAGCTAACTCATATCAATTACGTGTTGCTATAACCAAGTAGTTAAGAGTTGTTATTGATTACACTTGCATATAATGTTCCTTTTAATGCATGGTTAGGCAAAACATACATGTGAGTAGTGATATCATGCCGTAGTTTTTGAATTAATGTCGTTGAGTATCAGTTGCTGCTGGGTCATGAGTTCTTTTAATGGTCCTCCTAGAGTTCAGACGATATAATATATTCTTGTTAATATTTATTATTCGTTGGCATGCCTCTTTGGTTTGTTTAACAAAAGTAAAAGGTTTTCTTGTTTTTATTGAAGGCCAAAATTAAGGAAGCCTTGCTGGTTGAAAAGCTAAAGAAATATGAAATTTCGAAAGTTGAAGGTCCAGAGATCAAACCACAAGTCTTGACTGGGGAGGAACGCTTTTACTTGAAAAAAATGGCCCAAAAGAAGTCCAATTATGTACCTATCGGAAGGCGAGGCATCTTTGGAGGTGTAATATTGAACATGCATTTGCACTGGAAAAAACATGAAACAGTTAAAGTCATCTGCAGGCCATGTAAAACAGGCCAAGTTCATGAATACGCAAAAGAATTAGCAAGACTGAGTGGTGGGATACCAATCCAAATTATTGGCAGCGACACAATAATATTTTATCGGGGAAAGAACTATGTTCAACCAGAAGTTATGTCACCCATTGATACACTATCCAAGAAGAAAGTATGTATCAGAAATCTCCTCGTTTCTTAAGTTTTTGTTTTCCTGATATCACTTATGCATATATTCGGCTTATCTTGCATTTTACAGTGTGCTCCGCATTTGCTTGTGTTGACTGCTATCATGTGATGACATGACACTTGGATATGAATCCCTAACTAGGAAAAAAAAAAGGTATCAAGAATTGGACATAAAGCTACATCTGAAATCCACACATGATACATGTACCTTAATCCAAATGTAGATTTTTCCCGTATGACAAATATAACTGACTGGGGCCTCAGTAAGTAGGATGCTTGGTGACCAATCTATTTTTTTCTTATTTTTCTTGTTTTCTATTTTCAGGCACTTGAAAAGTCCAAATATGAACAATCATTGGACACAGTAAGGCACTTTATTGCAATATCTGAGAAGGAACTTGAACTTTATTACAGACATGTTGCACTCTATGGTGACCCAAACTTTCGGAACGCAGATTTGGTTTATGGGGATGGAAAACAAGGGCCCCAAGCGAGGATATCAGAAAAGCCACCTTCAACTGAGAACATAAGTATCAACTCAACCAGTCATGATGCTTCTGCAAGTCTATTTGATGAAGAAAATTTCTCTTCAACTGGTGATGATGACATGTCTGATGATGAAATTTGCTCATCAGCTAGTGATGATATGTCTGAACATTTTTGCGATGAAGAAAGTGTCTGTTTGTCTCATGACAATTCATCTACATCTCTTTCAGAAGCAGAGTCTGATTCTGATGATGGACAACTCGGGGCAGTTGAAATTGACTCTGAAGGAGAACCAGTGTTGGATTTCGAAGTGAATTCGGAAGATGAAGAAAACACTGTGAGTACATGCATACCAATCCTGAGATATTTGTTCTTAAATGCTGCGCTGAAACTGTACCCTCACACTGCAACTTGACTTTCTCTTCTAGCTTTGATTTAATTTTCCCATTAAAACATGCAAGTGTGGCTTTGACTTTGCAGGCAGTTAATTTTGCACAGTCATTGTGGAAATAAAAAATAAATGAAATGAAATTTCTTTATTTGCTCTTGAGAAGCATCATATTTGATTTTCTTCATTATTTATCCAATTAATTTAGATATTCATATCTTCTCACAATTTTGAGTCCTTTAACTGCATTGTTGTGTTCAATATATCCAACCAAATGTAAAAGTTTGGTCTGCTATTATAAAACCTGCAAAATGCATAGAGTGAAGGCATGCCTTATATTTCTTCTGTCTCGTGTCATTTTATATTTCTATTTGTGGCATTCTGCAGGCATGCTAGACTCTTTGAGGCTTTCACTGGGAGAAGAAAAGAAAAGTGAGATAATTGAGTTTAAGCAACAAACCACCGCAAGTCTTGACCAGAAAGTAAATATTTGAGGCCAGCTACATAGAAAGTGATGCTCCTGTTTTATGTTTTTTCGAGCTTGCGTCCAGCTATGGAAAGATATGCTATACATCATGGGAACAAAGCATTTTTTTTCTTAAAATGGTGATATCTCAATCTTTCACAGCTACTGAAGCCTTGGATTTTCTTGCAATGAATTTAAGAAATGTGCTACATTTTCATATCATTTTTATCATGATTAATCTTGTCATCCCTGTTGATGCTGCAACCAACAAAAATTTAAGCTCAGATACTTCTTTATCTTGTTGTTTAAATTGCCTTTTCAGATACAATAGTATATCTCACTTTATCTGACATCCAGATTGTATGATCATGGCCATGTTGTACAACATATAAAATATAAATGAATATTCATATATATATGAGAATATATAAGTGAACCATTGATATTGCAGTAAATCCAGATCCTGGGCGACATGAAAACCGTGTTTACAATTTCCATCACCACAGAATTGGTATCTATCTTTATAATCTGATTAACAGTCTTTTTAACTTCTTACATTTGTTACTCTGGTTTCCTGACCTCTATACATCTATGTTCTTTTTCTTGGTTTCTAATTGAAGCAAGATACTGGAGCTACATGGAATGCAAAATGAATTCAGAGGCATTATTCCTGTGATTTTGTTTATTTTGATCCAAGGGAAGGCCCTAACCGATGCTACTTCAGTGACTATTATGTCACCAAGCTTTCTGAAGGTTTTCTCTTGTGGCTTGTCCATTTCTCACCTCCAAGAGTCTTGACATGATGGTTTAATGGCTAGCTGGCAGTTCTACACTGGTGCATTATGTGCGAGATAAGCAAATTCTTCATCAAGGTGAGTGAACTATATAATGATCATATGGCTGAATAGTCATCCCTATACACATGTATGTTCAGACGGGAATGGTGAGTCATCTTTTATGAAGCTTAATTTAGATCTTTAAAATTATCTTGTCTTTCCTGTGCACATTCTAAATTTTACTTGTGCTAACAAATTGCCCCTATCCTTGATCCATATATATTATACATATATATGTATATATATCTTTGCACTCATACAATCATCCAGTCATATTAGGCCCTTAGTTTAGATTATCCAAGGTTTCAAATCATTGATAACACTGATTGTTACAACAAGAAACTCTTTATTACATGACAGTCGAAAGGGTGGAATCTACAATTTGCATCTTATTTGTCCTGTTTTATGTTCACTGTACAGGTTTTCACTTTTTTCTGAGAGCAGCACAAGATGCTTCTTAGCTGCTGCTGCTGCCAAGGAACACGAGATTAACTGGGACTTTGATGTTATCCCTCTGAATGGTGATTGAGCCTCTCACTGGAATGATCTAACTGGAAGACCGAATGACTGGTCCAGTACTCAATCCAGGTTCTCGCATGGCATTAACTCAAATTGTGATTTTGTTTACTCTCTTCTAGACTTTACATGCGCAGGAGCCTCTTGCACTGAGGTCATCCTTTTAAACTTCTAATCTCCTTGAGCAGCAAGTCTTGGAAATGATACTGCTTCATACACTTTACAGCTTTGTGATCACTAGATCAGCTCACAGTAGTAAACATGCAACCAGCAGGGGACAAATACAATATCAGGTTACTGAGTGTAAGATATCTACAATGAACAGGAGTTCTCAGGTCAGAAGAGGGAATGAAATGAATCGAGTTAGAAACCATCTGCCCTTTTACAGTGCCCCGAGCAAGTAGTAGTCCTATGGTTTTCTATTTGTGTTTACTGGTGCCCAGAGATCAGCGCCATTGCTTCGGGCAATCTGGAATGTGGAGGACAGCGGCACAAGACACAGGCCACGGCTTCTGAGGCTGTAATGATCATCCCCCTGGATCACATTACAAAGAGAAAGAGATGGTTATCAGCGAAAGGGGTCTTCGACCCACCTTGAATCTCTCTACATGGTTCATCGATGAGTAACTGAGAATTCGATTGAAGAGAGAGCTGACCTCCATCTTCCCTGTCACTGCCTTCCTGAGATATGGAGCACAGAGCACCTGCGATGCACACGGTTTGATGACATGAGACAGAGAGCTAAGAATACCGATGGGACTGTAGATTGTCAGCAGATTAAGAGAGGGAGGGGAAACCTGGAGTTGTTCATGGAGGAATTTAATGTATGCAGTGGCCTCCGAAAGAACAGATGCTGTGTCTGACTGCATTCACAGAAAGCAATAACAAAATTTGAGGTGGGAACAAAAGTATTGCTGTGCAGCCATCAGAACTGGGTTGATGTCTGCCAACCTTCCCAAAAGGCGAGACCAGTTGTTGCAGCTTTGCCACTCTCTCTCCCATCCTGTCCTTCTCCTGATCACCCGTCTTAAACACCATCATCATTCCGAACACCCTATCGTTGCAAGTTTATGTCAGCATCACAGGAAGAGAAGAGAACACAGACCTTGGTGGACGTAGCAGCTCCTCTTCCACCATCGCTAGTTTTGGGCCTCTTTCCGCCACTGCTGTCATTGTGACTTCTCGAAGAACCGCTCATGTCGCGAAGAACGAAGCCATCATGGCTTGCTCGTTTGTGATCTGCCACTTCTGTCATCATCATCTTCTTCTTCTTCTTCTTGCTGCTGCTACACTGTCACGGACATCTCGTGTTAAGTGCGTGGATTAAGAGCTCCTGTCCCGGAAGATCAAAAAAAACGTGAATTCAGGGTCAGATTTCGAGACTGCAAGATCTTATCAGAATGGCCGTCAGCTTTTGACCAAGTGCTGCGATTAATCTTTGACGAAATGGTACGTCTCCTCGTTCCCGTCTTGCAGCCTCCTATTCTAATATATTATATTGTGCTCGTCTTCTTACCCCCTACGATTATATTGCTATCTGTTTCCTTGTCACCCTTTTAACCTTTTGCTTCTAGAGATGCCATCACAGGGTAAACCCACCCATGTCTGAAAACTTCACTAGCCACACAGAGAGAGAGATAGAGCTTTTTATCAACTCCATCAAATTAGTACCCTCTGTGACCTTTGTGCTTAGGAAAATACTGACCTGGTCCGGATATATTGTTGGTAGTAGAAATGAACTGTTTGAACTCATCATTGTCAACAGCTACACCTTGGATCCCAAACTAGGCTTAGAGAAGCTTGTAATGGCACTTGCGTACTAGATATGGGCGTTCTTAGTGTCAAAAGATCCCTTCACTTGCCTCCCCATGTTCTATGATTCATATTACATTAGGTCCCTCCCAATAAGCTCTAAGAGTGTACCACAAGGAGTAGCGTCACTAGTCTGTGTCCTCCATCTCTAACCTACCTACACCTCCTAAGGTCCGAAGTGATGAGTAATAACCGAGAGATGGAAGGAGAGAGATGGATACTTACCAGGATCAGAAACACATGGAAGATAAGCCTGATTCTTGATCAAAATGAACCGTAGTGTGACAGAGGAGGAGGAGGAGGAGGAGAGAGAGGTTGCTACAGGTGAGGGGTGGGAGGGGGTTTTAAGTATGGGGAGAGGGCTGTGGCTCTCATTTATATCGACACATAGCACAAGCGATGCCAAAGAGAGAAGTCATGTTGAGATTGGACATGGGAAGAAGAAACCTTCAAGGATTTCGTCTTGTGACAGCTAATATCCAACCCATGGTAGGGTCCACTGCCCCTGCAGCGTTGATGTCATCCCCTTAAATTTGGCCATCTCTCTTGTCTTCCCGTGGAAATTGTCAAGAAGCTTCCCCCAAACCTTTCTTTTTCACCAGTCGTAGGGTGTTGTAGGCTTAGACCGAGCCATGCAGACGCACTTGTCTGTATGGATCAGAAAGAAAGACTCAATCCAATCCCATCTTGGTTTTGTTGTATGTTCACTGAATTATATGATGCTAAAACAATGCTTGAATCACATCGAAGACATCCAAACAGGATTTCTATACTTTGCTTCATATTCTGCTTTAAGGTTTTTCCAAATATCGTTGTTCTTCATATATTTGCAATATGGTGGAAAGGAAAGGTGTTTTGAGATAGGAAGGAAACAAAAGTCCCAATGTTTCTTCTCTTTTTGTTTGTTTTCTTAATAAAATAAAATAAAGGAGGAAGGAAATAAAAAGCCAAAACAGAAACACATGATGTTCCTCATGTCATGTGGTTCGGCTCATACATCATAACGTGGCAGGGTCCCCCACCCCCCGCGGCGTCCCCTTCCGTTACCATCTCGTGCGTCATTCGGGACTCACCACCGACCCTTACCTGCGACGGGGCCCACCAAAAATAATAGAAAAAGGGTCGAGGCGGTGGTGGCAGGTTTGACCACACACCTTTCTTCCCCCACTCGGGACGGGGCCCACGTGCTTCCCTCGCTCCGCCCGTCGCTCTCCCTCACGCCACGCGTAACGAAAACACGCCGTCAGATCTCTTTTGTCAAGGCTAACGGTTTTACTTATTAGTCCTCCCCCAAAGTCTGAAAATAACACGTTTGCCCCCTAACTATCAAACAGGATCATATTTTTTGTTTTTTTTTTTTTAATGGAGATAAACTATAAGGATATGTTAAGCCTGAAATTTAGAGGGAAAAGAAGAAGAAGAAAAAAATGACTAAATTTTAGATTGCTAAATATGTGACTTTGTCAACAAAAAAAAAAACCTGTGCTACGCTACATTGATGCATGCTTGGGAGAAAGAACATGCACCAAACACATGGCAAAAGACTGGATGGATATTGATGCATGAGCACAGCCCCTCATCAAAACATATATATTTTTAATATAGATAGATTGGAATAATTAAGATATTTTGCTTGAGATTGGGATTCATGATGATTATTTTTTGCAGCATTATTTGGAGTGTGACTCGACATACTTGTGCTGCTTGCACGCATCAATCTAGATGTCAGATGTCAGAAGAACCTACAAAGAAAGGTGTGACATGCTTTTTATTACTTTCGATTTAGATTGTCTCGGAGAAGCCTGTTTTTATTAATTCAAGAGGATCAAATTTTATGAGAGGAATTCCAAGTCCAAGAATTGACCAAATAGAAAAAAAGTAAGTAATTTTCCAAGGTCAACAACATCAAGTCAAAGCAGAACATGGGGAAGAAAAAAAGAAGCTATCCAATCTTATCCTATCCTGCATGCATTTTTAATAATCACCATTGATCTCCAACCAGCAAACTTGATAAGAACAAATTTATTGCCCGGTCTACCATCAAACCCAACTTGCCATCATGATCAAACTTTTCCTTTCTATTGTTGCATTTTTTTTTTTTTTGTATACTTTAGGTTGAGATGACACACCAATTTGTCAGTGTTCACTGTAAGCTCGCATTGAATCATTTGCAAAAGGATGATGGTAAGTATAGAGATACAGCAGAGGAAGCTTCTCCTCATCTTACTTTACTCATCAATAATTTATCTTATTTTTACAATAATAATAAAATTATAAGTCTCGATCGACTATATAGATTTTTTTTATCATCAATGAAATCTATAAAATATTATATATTTAATTAAGTTTAGAATATTTAATTTTTTATTTATAACTTTTATTAAGATCTTTTTACGATAACTATTTTAAATCTTTTGATTATCACATCTGCATGTCTTCTCTGTTTATACCAACTTAAATGATTTTCTCTTATCTTATTCTCTATTGAAATGATATATAGTTATTAATGAATATAAATATTATTTTTTATCTTTTCTAGTAACTCCACACATTCATCTTAATATTCTCAACTCACTAATACTAATTTTTTTATATTTTTTTTCTTAAATATCCTACACTCAAATTCATAAAGCATTATCGACCTCATAATTATCTTATAAAATATTTCTTTTAATATCAAAAGTATTCAATGATCGCACATGACTCCTAACGTCATTCATCATTTTAACGATCATGTTTTTACCCTATGAATTATACATTTTATCAATCTCTTCATCTTGTTGAATAATTGATCCAAAATACTTAAAGTTTTTATTTAAAAGAACTTCTTATTCATCCAATTTAATTATATTATTTAGTCTATTTCTAGAATCACTAAAATTATATTTTATATATTCAGTTTTAATTCCTACTTAATCTAAAACTTTTAATTTTTAAGGCTTACCTCAATAACTCAAATTTATAATTAATTTCACTTAAGCTTTCATCAACTAAAATAATATCATCAGCAGATGACATACATCAAGGAAGTCTATCATATAAGTGACTAATAAATTCATCCATTATCAATGTGAAAATATAGAGACTTAATGTGAATCTTTGGTATAATCCTTTACTAATAGAAAACTTATAAGACACACTCCCTGTAGTTTTAACACTATAGATATCTATATTATCATACATATCTTTAATAACATCAATATAATTAATATATATATATATATATATATATTTTTTTTTTTTAAACCCACCTTAAATATCTAGGAATCCTATCATAAGCTTTCTTTAAATCAATAAAAATAATATATAGATTTTTTTCTCTCAATAATTTTTATTAATTATATTAATAAATAAATAGATTCTATGATTGATCTTTCAAGCATAAAATTAAATTAATTTTTAGATATATTTATTTTAATCCTTATCCTATTTTCAATAACTCTTTTTTAAAGTTTCATAATATGACTCATGATTTTAATTTATCTATAATTTAAATAATTTGTATATCATCCTTATGTTTATAAATTGATATTAAAAATTATTTTTCATTCATCAAGCATCCTTTTGAATCTTATGATTTTATTAAATAAGCTAATTAACAAGGCTACTTCATTATCTACTAAATATTTTTAGACCTCAATAGGGAGACCTTCAGCTCCCACACTTTTAACTATTTTTATCTTCTTTAATATATTTTCTTTTATTTTATTAGTTTTAATTTTATGAATAAATCTGTTATTATTAAATCTACCATTATTATTTATCGTTATATTTATGTCCTATGTAAAATATTCATTAAATAATTTATAAAATTAATTTTTTTATCCTTTCTTTATCTCATTAATAAGAATTCTTTGATCTTAATCCTTAATGCATCTAATTTTACCTAAATTTTTATTTTTTTTCTAACTTTAGCAATTGGCTATATATATATATATATATATATATATATATATATATATATATATATACCATCTTTAGTATCTAATTTAAAAAATTAACATAAGCTTTAAATCTTATCATGCTAATCACTTTTTTAGCCTTTTTTAGATTTCTTATATCTTCTAAATTTTCTTTATTTTTATAATTTTAATAATCTTTAAAACTTGTTTTTTTAGTAAAATTTTTTTTTTAAACAATCTTGTATCACCATAAACTTTCTTAAGGTTATATATCTATCTTTAGTAGTACCAAGAGTTTTCTTTGTTAAACTCCTAATCTTATTAGTCATCGTAATCCAAATAATATTAATATTATCATTATCTAAGTTTCAAGTCATCTTATTTTTCATCTTATTCTTAAAAATATTTATGTTATCATCTTTAAAATCCCACTATCTAGTTTTAGTAATTTTTTCTAATTTTTTTTATTTTATACGGTAAATATTTAATACTATCAACATTCATCAAACTTTCAGTGTAACTTTATAAGTTTTATAAATAACTTTATCTACATTTCTAGTGAGAAAAAAATTTATTTGAATATTGTGACCATCCTTATAAATAATTAAATATTTATCTCTTTTCTTAAAATTAATATTTATAATTATAAGATTATATAAAATTATAAAATCTAAAACCATACCTTATCTTCATTTCTCTCTCATAACCAATGCCGTCATGCTTTTCTTTTTTTAATACTCATCATATGTTTTTCCCATATGACAATTCAAATCTCCTTCAAGTATAAAATTTTTGATTATAAACATTCTTTGAATGATATCATCTAAGCTTTTCCAAAAAAAATTTTTAATTTGATGATTTAATCCAACTCGAGAAACATAAGTACTAATGATATTCAAAACATCTCATCCTCATGAATTTTAGAACTATAATTTTATCTTCAAATATTTTTAATCTATAATAATATTAACTTTTTTAATCTATAATTTTAGAACTATAATTTTAACTTTTTTTTAGTATATCAAATTTTAATCTAATAATATTAATCTCTTTATATTTTTTCTTACCTACTTAGTCTCTTATAAGTAAATAATATTTATTCTTTTTCTAATCACAGTATTTATCAATTATATTCCCTTCCCCGAAAGTATTTCTATATTTCACATTGCTAATTTAATCCTTTGTTCTTACAGTAACTTCTTTACTCCGATTGGCCTAAAATAATGAGAGAACCTTTATTTACTTGGCATCATATCCTTGTATCGAGATGATGGATCGCTTTCGAATGGTCTCCTATTCATCATTTACAATTCGAGACATCTAGATGGTGTAGGTGTCTCACATCACTTCGAATGATGATCTAAATCTATACTAACATAAATTTATGTTAATTATAAATAATAATCTTTCATAATTTTTTTATTTTTTCTATTCAGACTTTGAGACCGGCGTTGAGAGTGTTATGTTCTTCTATTTCTGCTCGGTCATAAAACCACAGCAAAAGCACACCAAAAGAATTGCTTCTCAGGGAAGACAGTCCCAGAAAAGAATTGGCACTGTTTAGCCTCGTCCTTCTTTGTCTCTGCAATCAATGCTATTTAGTTTCATGCCTTACAAAGGTGAAAAGAAATAGTTTCTTTCATCTCCGATAGCCATCTTTGCTTCATGTTTTTTGTGTATGTATTCATGTTATGTTGTCAATGCATTACGCCACTGTATCCGCTTCTGACGAGCTGTCATCTCTTTGAAAGGCCTGACGGACTTGTGTCTGTGGTCCGTCAGAAAGGCAACGAGATCTGGAAACACTTGCAAGCTTTCAGACAGAGACGCTGACACACTTTCAGTGCCCCCACCCCTCCCTCCCACTTCTAAATCTCTGTCCCATTTCTTTGTTAATCAGATTTGCGTCAGCAAATGCTTGTAAACCTGGAGATGTGAAGGCTGTCTACTCCAACACCGGAGAAGACAGCAGGACATGGGGGCCTGTCATGTCGTAAGATGCTCGCTTAGCTATAGGTGGCTGCCCAGGGGGTGGTGTCGGGAGTCTTGGAGAGCTGGAATCAATCTGCAGTGATCTCTGTAGGCCTCCCATCTGCTGCAGAGTGCAGTTCCCGTGGAGTGAGACCCACCGGTCTCTGTTCCTTAAAACCTGTTTGGATTTGTTCGTGTGTCATCTTTGCCGAGAATGATTGACCTCTTTGTCATGGCCTCGAAGACAGACTCCCATGATTCCACCCTGACATGAATCTCCACTTTGCTGAGTGTATCGTGTTCTTTGTTCCATCGGAAACAAGCAGAGAAATGTTGGATGCTCGAGCGCATGCATAGCACAAACTTTAAGAACGATCACGGTAATATATCACAGAATTAGATTATTAGATATGAGAGATCTTGGCTTCCTTAAGAAGCACAAAGTAGAAGAAGATTCAATGCATAATGCATGAGCTTTTTATAACCGAGCTACTTATAGGGAGTAATACTCGAAACATTGTATCAGTATCCTTTGCACGTCCTCTTCCTCTGTGTCTTCCATAGCTGAGCACTAATGGCCGGGGCCTTTGGGATTTGGCCCGGACGCCAATCTAGCCATCAGGCACGCAGCCGTCGTCGTCGTCGTCGTCTTCGGATCAGAATCTGCAGCCACCAAACTCTCAGGCCACTCGACCACACGCCTCGCACCGTCGACGCCGCCTGTGCTCACAGCGACGGCCGCAACGAGGACGACGAGCAACACTGCGACTGCTCTCTTCGACTCCATCGGGGCTGGAGGCAGCTCAAACACAGTCGACGCACGCGACACGGTCGGTTTAAGTAGGTTCTGCGAACGTGAACTCCTCGAGCTCGGCGATCGTGCCGCCCGAAAAGCCGGCGGCTCGGCTTTTGGTGCGTGGAAGTGAGCACAGCGTTTATGGTGGCTGATGCGATGAAGGAAGCTATGCATGAGGGTCGAGACGAGGAAGTGGGCACACCGAGGTGTTCATGGCCACTGCTTCAAGTCAGAATAATACTGGCGAAGAAGATGAGCGTCATCAGCATACGGATTTCGAGGTGATCGCCATGTGAGGATCCATGAAGAGTGCTTTTGAGATCGATAAGCAAGCTTGATAGGTGGGAATGCTGCTTTCATGCAGTGATTGGTGCAAGTAATGAGAGGGATCATAGGATTTTAGTTGGTTTGGTCGTTGGTATCATCGGCTCAATTAACGACACAGTTATAATCTTTGTTTAAGAGGACAAATCTTAGTATCACATGTCTCGATCTTACGATAAATTGTTGTTAAGATCTTTAAGCTGACCGACACATTAATATCATTTTTTACTTTATCAATTAAAGAAACAATAGAAATGATAGCTTTAAACTATCGTTTCTTCCATTGATTAGGCTAAATTGCATACAAATACAAATATAATGATTTTATTAGTGATCAAGAGAACATTCATGGAATCTCGATCATTCACTACTTGTTCCTCGAAGGTTTTTTGGGGCAATTTGCAAGGAGAATAAAAGGACAATAATTTGATTGATGCATCTAATGGGAATTGATTGGAGACTTAAAATTTTGATTGACACAGCAAATGTAACAGGACATCATCAATTAGATTAAATGATTCAATGAGAAACACCCCAAAAGAAGACAACAATTAATGTCTTTTTTCACCATCGTTAATTAGTTGAGGAAGGAGAAGAAGCTGATGCTTCATCCATCTCCATGGTTGAGTACTTGGAAGTAAGAAGATATGCGCGAGCTGCCGCCATAAACCGCTCCACCTCTTTCTTTTGCTGCAGCCATGGTAAGACAGATCAACATGTATAAATCATCAGTTGATGAGCGACATCTAGCAGCTATATCATCATGTTTCTTTTTTTCTTTTTTGGTCAGCAAAATACGAAATGAAAAGGACCATTGGACTTGTTCATGCTGCCTTAATTGATGAGTTAGGTTAAGTGATGATGCTTATCACAGTTTGGTGAGTATGCATGCAGGGAGAAGTCATCGAACAAAGTTTGTAGCTGTGTCATCACATCACTCGTATGTAAATGGATTTAAAAGATGGGAGAGTAGATGAACAGAGGCACACCTCATCAGTGGCTCCAGACCTTATTCTGGACTGCAAAATGCACCACTTCTTAAAATTTACACCTGATGAATGCCATCGATTGAAAAACGATACACCAACAACTAGAGACAAACATGAAAGATTCAAGAACACGAATGCAATAAAACAAAAGGAAAGCATACCAATTCGTATATCCATCGAACAGGAACTCTGGGTGGTTGTTCTCAATGTCCATCTGGTGTGGATCTGCAGAAAAATGTAGCATTAACCAAAGAAGATATTTTGTGCCCTGATATGAGTTTCTCACATTTGCTAAGTCTTCCTTGGTTGTTTTCTATTGTTTGGATTGCAATGACTACTGTTCAAAGTCAAAAGTCACTTGGTTACAGACGAGCATCTTGAAAACAAGAAAGAACGATCTTATGTGCTTATTGTGAATTTATACAATCGATGGGTGGAGTGAATCAGGTACCATACCATATTGGGGGGAACTGCCATTTTATGGTACAAGCATTAAAGTGAGACCATTATGAAACATCTTGACTTCGTCAACTAGATGCAAACAATTCTCCTAGACAACCAACAAGGTTTAACATGGGAAGTCAAACTTGGATGACAATTCTCATGAACCATGTAGCCCACTGGCTAAGTAGCTTCGATAGTTCTACACAGTTTGTTATCAACAGATTAATCAAGTTGTACACAGTTTGTTATCAGTATATTATTAAGTACCTCAAAGCAGGAACCAAAAGGAACATCATGAGCTTGCTGCACTGTCTCATAAACCTAAAAAATAGAAAATTGTAGGTAAACTTATATTAGGGAAAACTATGAAAGTTTAAATATTTATAAAGTATAAATGAAAGTGTTGGGACCATACCAAGGTTGCCTTGTCACTTGAAAGAACAGCATGTTGCCACTCTGTGACGGCTGTATCTGGAGGGCACAATGGACTGTGACATGGCGACCTGAATGTTAGTTCACGGACCAAACCATCATAATCATCTGCAATCTGCCACTTGCCCGACTGGGAACACAAGTATTAAAATTGTTGCATTCTCCTTAAGGAATATGACATATGCTGAATGCTAAAATACAATTTAGAATACACCTAACATAGATGAGTTTTACATTATAATCATTCAAAAAATACAATTCCTGATAAATTAATCACCCCCAAGCTACCGTACCATCCTACCAAAATGCAGCCACATGAGATCAACTAAAAGGTGATATACAAATTCACAAAGGGTCCATTTGGATCTCTGGAATACAAAGCTTACTTAAGCAGGATACAGTCCAGATGCTCTTGGGAAGCAACCTGTCTATTGTTGAGATCTAATCTGAAACAACCTGTCTATTGTTAAGATCTAATCTCTTGGATCATGAAAAAAACAATGAAATTTATTTGTTATCTAGAACTTCAAAAATGAGATTGTAGCACAAACTGGTTTTCTCATTCATTAACGGTGAACTGTTCCTAGGTGAAGTGATCACAGAGGAAGATGATACATCAGAAAGTTCATCTGATCATTTATAAAAATGAATCTTTTTTTTCTGTGAATGTCAATCAATTGGGACAGATGAATTTTTAAATTCTTCATGATAGCCAACAATATACACCTAAATACCCTCAAGTTACAGGTACTATGTTAGGTTACCAAATATGAAACTCATGCAAGATCTATTATGGACTAAACTCATTGGTCCAAGAAGTTAAAGAGAGATGGAAAATTATCATCCTCATGCCCTCTGATCATTAACCCTTATAAGTGGTTGTGGGAGAAAGTACTTGCATGATTCAGCCGCTTCCCCTACACACCCTTGAACCAAACATATGGCATTTTAGTTGCTAATTGTCCGACTATAATTGAGTTGGACAAAATCAGTTAAATTATAATCCGATTGGATTGAAGGGATTTTACACTACTGCAACAGTAATAAATCCAACAAAAACAGAAAAACTTTTAGTATTGATTCGTCTATGACACAATATGTATTGAGTAATGCATTGTACACTACTTATGACATGTATTAGGAAGTGCATGTATTGAACCATTCAGTGACTGAACCAATTTGACACAGTAAACAGAAAAGAATGGAAAAAAAATATCGCCATTGACAAAAAAACAACCATAAGCTCCATTCTGCAATGTATTTTCTGGATGACATGTTTGTTGCATGTCAGTCTCATCTTTGAAAACCAGAATGGGCCTGTCATAGACACCTGCTGATCAAGACGGGATGGTAACCTCACTAATTATATGAAACAGTGATAAAGCTGCAAACCACAATTTGAAAAACCATCCAGACTGGTATGAACCGGATGGTAAATATTGGTATGATGGGAAACCAGGAAGCCTGCCTGCCCAATACCTTTCCTCAGCTCCTCTCATCTTCCTCCTTTCTTCCCCCTCTCCCCTTCCTGGTGCTCACCGCGCTATGCCATTGTACCATTTGTCAATATACCAGACCCAAACCGGTCTGGTCAGCAAACAGTATGGGGTCCAATATCATATTTTAAAACCATGCTATAAATGTAAATGCCAAGGCTTTAATAAACTAATATTTAAATAGGAAATGTATCCCCATCACAGGCAGAGGTTGGACAAATTGAATCGGCTTCAATCAGCTTTGAATGATTTCTAGTTACCACGCAACTGAGGGTAGAGATTGCACATAGATATAAACACTTACACTAAGATTAGTATCATTTTTTGCTGCCAGGAACTCTTCAATAAACTTTGAATCATCACTTAACAACAAAGTAAAGAACTGCTTGGCTGTACATGGGAAAATATCCTGGAAAATTGGATGCATTGTCAATTCTAAATTATATTCATCATAAAAATAAAAAAAAATAAAGTTAACTTATGCTTACATTGACAGAGCAAAATAGAGCCTTCTCGTTGATGAAAGCTTGTAATCTTTTAGTCTTGGCTATATTTCCTTTAATACTTTTTATTTGCTTTGTATCATTGTAGACAGAACTGCTGCATGCACGCAATGCTGATTGCATCCTCTCCTAGGTTCAAACAATGCAGTCAAGGTAAGTGTTAATTTTTTTTTGTGTCTCAATCATGAACCATAAAGCATGGTTTAAAATAAAAGTCAGAGTCCAAGATATATGAACATATCACTCGTGAACAACAAAACTTGTTTAGAAACTAGAAAATACTGGTCGAATTAGTAATTACCAGTCTAGTTACTATTGGTATTACACTGGTTTATGTTTTTTCTGATGGTACATGGCAATACAGGTTAGTATACTGCTCAATATCTCATTATGTACTGGTATAATAGGGTTGTCAACACCGGTATTAAAAGATGAAACCTTGCTAGACAGGCTTATAACAATATGTATAAGCATAAGGAAAACTCACCATATTTGCTGCAAGAATCATAGGGGATGTAAGCCATGTCAAAATGCCATTTTCCAAATAAGCATACCAATAATCACATATTTACCAAGTGAACAAAGGCCTTTTTATAATAGTGGTGATACATTCAAGTTAAATGAGAAACTGAAGAAAAAGCTTTAGATGTTTCATAAATCTTCATAATATGGTTTGCAAACCATAGCCCTGAATCAGATCTCTAGTTTGTCTATTTTAACAGTGAAATGATGTAATTTACATGTCTACTTGGTTAATTACAAGCCCCTGGATAGAGGTCCAGACTGTTGGACCACGAGTATCAACTGACCGCATCTGATCCAACAGTGAATATATACATCTTTATCAACTTGATGTAAAGCAAGGGATGAAAATGGAAAGCTTGATCCTCTTAGTTGCTTCTTTGTCATTTTTGTCAATACCTACCTAGATGGACCATATTAGACAATCTTCAGTTCTTGATAATAATTGATTGTTTATTCATATTTTCTCCTCTCCTTTATATGTCTTTCACCAAACATCATAGTAAAATATTTGCTAAGTAAACCAGCTCAATTTTGTGATATCAAACTTCTTTTTTCTTTTGTCATTCTGTAATTGTTCTGACTTTTGATGGAAATCAGATGAAGATGAAAAAATCAAAACTTTCTCATGCACTTTTCTAAAAGAAAACAGCCTATATTGATTAAATAAATTGTCATAGACACATTATTTATAATTAGGAGAAATCAAGAACCTTATCATAGCAATTACATATCATCCAACTCCTGATTTTGACATTTTATGTTTGTACTTAATCTATAAAATATAATGTTTCATATCTGCCAGTCTCTTTTCCTATGCAAGCAATAAGAACATCCTCCTCTTGAAAGAGGTATTCAAGTCCTACTAAAATAAAGCACTTATATTTCTCATTATTTTTAAAGACAATTTTGAGAGATCTATAGAGCCCCATTTAGGATCAATTTAGTGTCCAAAAGCTCTGATATCATTGTAGTATGAGTTAGACTAGTTATTTTCTTATTAACAATGGTATTTGGAGAATTGTATAATACAGGATTCATGGCATGCAAAATTATTTTCTCTAGTCTTATGATCATAAGCCCTTGTTTATTCCTATGTTGTTTACAAATAGAGAAGGATGAGTAAACTAATATAGATACACATCCTATAATATCATGACTCATCACAATTTGAATTATCAAAATTGTTCCCTCTCTTTCCTCTCTATCTCTGTTCTATTTCCCCCTACTCTCTTTTCTCTTTCTCAATTTTCTCCTGAGTCTTCCCATGGAGATTAGAAGGTGCCTGACAGAAGGTTATAACTCCTATAATTGTATTTCTTTTATCACCATAGATGGGAGTTGATAGCTTGAAATGGATATTTTGCCAATGGTTAATTTTTTGCAAATAAACAACTGTCTGTACTATCCTTCACTGTTACTGAATGCCTCAAAAAAAGTTAGAAAATATATAAAGAAATGTGAAAACAGTTAACAATAAAATATGCAAGAAGACATGAAGCAAGGAGTATAAATTAAACAGAGGAGACATACAGACCTTCTCAGCATCCAATCGTGCTCGGTATAGTTTTATGGTATGCCATAGAGCTCTTATTGAATGGTTCCTATTCCAAAATGATGCAAATTTGTATCTGACTCGACCTGAAAATGGCCAAACAAATGCTTAGTTTAAGGCTAACTGTAAAACCATGGTATCTTCTTAATCAACCACAGGGTCGCATGAGATGGTTTTTTCTATTTTTCTATTCGAGTTGTAGAACATATATGAAGGAAGATGGTTGCAATGAATGACATAGGCCCTCATAAGAGAAGATCTTATTATGGTGCAAGGTAAGTAAATTAAGACAATGCATGACATGGCCTCTTAAGAGAAATATAGGGAATCTAAAATGAATTGAGTATTTATTGTGTTACGTCTACATATATAAAACATAAACCAAGTACCCATGGTCAATAGCTATGTAATAACCAATTGCTTTCATTCAAGTTCCCAGCTTAAACAATTTATATATATTGTACAATTATTCTAAAATATTTTACTCCAATTATCATTTTGACAACAAAAACAAGTTGTTAATTCTTGGAATCAATATAATTTTCAGTTTTTACTGAATTACGATATTCTCAGAAAGTACTAACATATTAAATTGAGACGTCTAGAAACAAATGTCTTACCATCTAAACCTTTTAAAGGAGGCACACCATGTCCGCCAGAACCCATCTGGAGAATTATTGTAATTGCAGGATTAATACAAGCATGTTGGCTCCTTTTGATCTGTACTTCTAACACCGGAAAGCAATTTGACACAAAATTATAAATATAGAAAACTTTATGCATTGAAGAACCAGAAAAGAGATCAAATATAGCAAAATATGATCAACATATATCATTTATATCACAAAAGTATTTAAGCATTTTAAAGTTGATTATTCTATATAATTCTAGGATACTGTAAGAGTAACCAGCAAAGAGTGCACATAAAGCAGAGTATAATCAACATACCACATATATATCACCAAAGGGAATAACCACCTGGAAAAGTTGACGTCAAGTGATTTTTCAGAATCTATGAAAAATTAATATACAGAAAACATTAATAAAATATGAGCAGTGAGAGTACTAAAATGAGAACATTGATATATTTCTTGAAGGCTTAATCAATGTGGTTAGGTTATTCAAATGTAAGCCAAAATATTTTTAAGAACAGGGGATGAGATATCATAGCATCAAGATTGACTAAGCCCAAAAATATGAAATCAGTATACCACCACCCACCTCATATATATATGTACATATATACATACATACATACAAACACACACACACACACACACACATACATACATACATACATACATACATACATATGTACATATATATATAACATAATAATCTGCCTAATATATATACATAATATATATGTATGTATGTATGTATGTATATATATGTATGTGTATGTATGTATATATATACATATGTATATATACATATATATACATGCATATAAAGTTATTTCTGCCTAACTAGATGATTATAACATACAAAGTTATTTCTTTCTTCAATAGTAACCTAATCAATGTGGTTAGGTTATTCAAAGGTAAGCCAAAATAATTTTAAGACCAGGGGATGAGATATCATAGCATCAAGATTGATTACGCCCCTTATCAAAATATGAAATCGGTATACCAAACCACCCACCTCATATAGAGTACAAGCTAAAATTAAAAAAATTGATCCACCATAAGTTTAGTGAAGTATGTAACTAATTGGATGCAAATTAATTTCATGCAAACAAAGAGAATTTTCATGGTGGTAAGCAAAAGCTTTGCTATAGGGTATTTTATTTATCTCAAATGAACAAAAATAAAAAATATGTAAACTTAATAATCTGTCTAACTAGATGATTATAACGTTGAAAGTTATTTCTTTCTTTAGCAGAAATTGATATTTTATTTCTTTAGCAGAAATTGACAGTTTGACTTGGGAACTTATAGTAAACAAATATAAGAAATATCCTTTTTCTTACCAATAGAGATCACATTCTATTTGCTTAAAAAAAACCAAATTAAGTATTGCTTAAGAATATGACCAAGTTCAATGTTTTCATGAATGCAAGAAATAAGCATGCCCATGAGAAAAAATAGTGTAATTTGCTTAAGTGAAGAATCAGCAATACCTTTCTTCCTCCATATGACTAGAATTATTTTCTCCTGTGCAATAATTAAACTAAATATGTTGTATCAAGTCACACTCTTAAGATTAATTTATTTGTAGAAAAGGCATTATTATAATTTAATGAAGTTTGTGACTAAACCTAAGAATCAAAATTCATTATAAACCAAGGGCATGTGTTATAAAGAAGAAAAAGTAAATTCCTCCCTGCAATCACAACAATGATAGGACTGATCTTTCTCAAAGGAGATGATTGATTCATTAGTGAGTTCTTTATATTTATATCCTCAATCCAAAATCTTATACTGCATGTCGGTTAGCAATAATGAGTAGTCTTCTCGACCTGAAAAGTAAACTTATCAATTAGTAGTTTCTAGTTTCTGTGTACACTTGGGTGACATGTGACTATGTCATTCAATAATTCATCAGGAGCATTGCACTATCACCATTATTCATAGATTTTTATAATCAATAACAACAAAAGAGCATCAACTTAAAACTGTACTAACTGACAGCATCAAGTTTTTGAGTTTAAAGAACAATGTAAAGAATATAGGTAGCCTATTGACAATCATAGACTACAATGTTTCCATCAACAAAATTATCCAAAAAAGGAAAATATCTAAGCCAAGGGATTACCAGACCTTCATTTGTTTAGAGAAAACATTAGAATGGAAGCAAATGTGCCATGCAGAGACATACATGCGCCCATGGTACAAAAATGATCTTTCAAGAGCACATGAATAACTGTGGCAAATAACCTGGAAAGAAACTGTTGCTTCAATATAATAACTAAATTAGGTCTTAAAATTCTGAAAAATTTAATGTCATTCAAAAAAATATTTTTTTATTGAAGTAGAGAAAGTTGCCTCATCTGAAGGTAGTTTAAATATGGTCTGCAGAGGCCCAGGTTTATGATGAATTTCTGATGACAACCTTCTGCGTGCATCTGCTATGATAAAACTACTAAATGACCTAAAGAACAAATAATGCATTATATTTAGAATGATTCAATCTAATAAAATTTATTGATAGAGAACTCTTACTGATAGAAATTTCAGATTGTATTAGCATTACAATCAACTATGAAAAGAAAGTCCAAATTGCAAATTGAAAAGAATGCATATAACTTGTGCTTGTGAACACAGATAAACACAAGATGATGCAGCATTCAGGATTCCGAAGCAAACAAGCGAATTCAACTTATGTTGTGTTAATATGTATAAAACATTCAAGAACAAATCATAAAATATAGTTGGACAATTCACTCAGGAAAAAGTTGTCCAAGATGAGTTCATCATACAGAAAAAAAACCATGTTAGAAGAGAACTAATATATAATAGTATAACTACTACTAACAGTGAATAAAAATAAAAAAAGGTTCACAACGAGAACAAATTACAAGCCATTAAAGAAAAATATTACCTTGAGAAAACTGCAGGTAGTTTAAATGAACTAATATGCAGACAGACCTAGAAAAGAAAATGTATAACAATTACAAGAGCACAGTTAAGAGTTTCATGAGGATAATAGAAACTGAAAATGTACACATTTTACCTCTGCCAATGTGCTATCCAAAGTGTACCAGCTTGCCCCAGTATAGCCTTCTTCTACTGAAACAACCAAAGACCCAAGGACTGTGGATTTTCGTACTACATCCCAGTCATAAAATGTTATACAGATCTGAAATCAAAGTCGCAATAGAAAAAATTACCATGGAAAACACCAAATATCATAAAAGTTCATGAGTCTAGAGGACCTTTTTGTATTACGTTATACATGGACATTATGTTTGGTACATGAATTATACCTCCATATCAATGATTAAATGAAGCTACTCTCTTGGAGTGTATGAAGCCTTGGTAAATCTAGAAAATGTTAGATATTGAAGAAAATGAATTTATGTTGAGACAACAACCATTAAGACCTGAGAATAGCAAAATACTTCGTCAATGGCATTGCTTTCTATCATATGTTAATTCAAGAAAGTATGTCCTTCTTTAGCAATTTATGTCGGCACTTATTTTGATTATATTGAATATACAATATAAATGAAGTAAATCCAATTTAGACCGTCAAGTTGTCATGGCATGTCACATGCCACATGCTAGCATATCAAAATAGTGTTATTAGTTACTTTAGAGGTCATTTATTACATGTCAAAAAAAGGTGTAAAGAGAACATTTTTTAGTTTTCAATATGTGCAACAATACTGAAAAAACTTCAACAAATTGTAGCAAGAAATAAGATTTTTGAAATGAAGAACTGACCTGAATAGGGAGCTTATCTACAAAGAAATTGAATTCTTCTCCCCATAAAGGGTCTCTTGAGCTGGGTATCATTGAGCTGCATTAGCAATGCAAATGGTACTTAAATAGTGCAACATTTCATCTGCACACTAACCATGTGCAAGAAAGAAAAGTAGATTTTATTTGAAGTACAACTTTTGTATCAACATAACAAAAAATATGAAAGAAAAAAGAGGTATTTGGATAAGTTAATTATCCTTGAGATTTGCATTGTAAAAAAGCAAAGATTTAAAAAATCTTGATCCAATGCTGGTCCCTACAGTTGGTGAGACCAGTACAAAATACATATATATTGAGTGATAAACAATCTAGTATCACCAAAAAGATAATAAAATAAAAAATATATATATATATATCAATATCAATTTATATGGTCCAATATAGTCCTTGGTTGAACTAGTAAATATCAATTGATACATACAAGTCCAACTGATGTCTAAAACCTTGGTGGAAGAAACTATCACAAATATCTAAGTCCAAGGTTTCAAATATGGATCAAACCGACCCATACTATTAATTTCAAGCAGCACAAATTGGTAGTTGAAAACAAATTATTAAAATTGATATCAGACTGATATTTATCTGTCTCTAAGTCAAACATAAATGAAAAAACTACATCAGTCATTTACTTCAAATTGATTCAAGTAAGAAATTACAATCTACATAGACTATTCATAAGATAATATTGCATGGAAGGTAAGACCATCTTATCATATTTAGAGGAACCATTATTACAGCAAGGCAATTGTTATTTCAATGGCTTAAGAGCTTCTTATCTTCTTCATTAGTTAGAAAAGAACCCATCATATGCAAGGTTAAAAAGAAAAGCAGCAAATTGACCTTTCAATGACTTTTTTTATCTCCAAGGAATTTGAAAACTATGGTTGTTCCTCCTCCTCTCTGTTGTACTTTGTTTCCTTGGTAGAGATTTATAGGAATCCAACTTACAAAAGCATAGATTAAGGTTAAATTCATGTAAATCTAGCCTAGTTTTGAGCAGACTTTTAAGCCTAGATCCATACAAGTTGACCTAAATAACATAGATTGGCCTGTATCATCCATGTACAAACTGTACATCCAACAGGCATCACAAGGCTTGTACCATTCAGCACAAGGCCTTTACCGCTCAGTATGCCCAGAACAGGGGACAGTTTCTTTTTTTTGTCTTTTAAGTATTTTTTTAGGTTTTTCTGTAAATCGGTATGTATCAGTGTCTCGACACAGTACACTGATATGGACCATCACAGTATCGGTCCAAGTCCTAACCAATACAGTATAGGTACGCGAAACTACGAACCTTGAATAAAATAATATGACAATATTGAATCATAAAATAATAATAATCTCAATTCTCAATTCATCATGTTTCAAGCATCTAGTTCCAAGATGAGTCACCAAGCTTACAGTTAAAGCTATTAAGGCAAAATATTAAGTTTCAAAACTAATTATCAAGTTCCAAGCAACTAAGTTTTAGGGTATTGTTAATTAATATTGTTTTGTAACTTGTGTATCCTTGTAAATTGAGACCAGTAATTAGGTTACTGTGAGCTAAATTGATTAATTAGGTATATGGTGACTGAGATATTTAACAAACAAATCATCTATTTAAGGAGGAAAGGAAGCTTGGGAGGAAATTTTGAATTCGGTAAATAAATCCTTGTAATTGAGTATCGAGGTCTTAGTTATTCAAAGAAAAAAGAGAGTTCTTTTTTGCCTTATCCTAAATACTCACTCACCCTCATCTTATTGTTTCATACCAGCAAGCATCTGAGTCTACAGTCTCCAGTGAGTATGAGGTTCATAGGAAACAATGTGGATACAATATCAATTATTAATTATTTTGTTATAAACTTGGGCTCATGTCTATCTAATTCCAATGGACCAAAATCGGCTTTTTTCACCATATGTATGTGCTGACATAGCATGTTGGTATGCTGGTATAGACCGGACTCATATCAACGTAGCCATGGATAGGCACTATTCTGGTACTCAAAATTATGTTTCTTAAATATTTTGTTGCCATAAGTGAGGCCTAGAGTTCATTAGAGACAATACTGTAAACTTAAACACTTAAAATGGGATGGTAGAATATGTAGATTCAAGTGCCTTAGCAACCATTATCAAGCAAAGACCAGAGCACCAAAGATCTAGATGCTTAACAAAAAACGTTATTGAGATAAGTTAATTACATAATAGATGTAGATCCAAACAACTTGGTCATAACATTATCAGGAAGGAGCATGAATGCACTTACCTATACCGGGTTTGTCCGCCACAACTAATTATTGCGTAAGAATCTGATGTGCCATCCAGGTTTGCACCAATTAGGTTCTTGGCCGCCAGTAGTTCCAACTTAAGTACAAACATATTTAGACAATTGTATCTAGTATGGAAAATAAAAAGAGATGCATAACCTGTTTTCAAGTACTATTTGTCCAATAATGGTTTTCTTAAAACTGTAGAGCAAATTGTTCTACTCAAGTATTGTTATCCAATAACTAGTGCAAACCTAACTAGAATTACCTTGACAAGATATGGAGAAGTGCCAAGCAAGTCTTCATTTGATGGACATTTCTACATAATGAGTGAATTAATGTCAAAAAAATGGAAAGACCATTTTGTATAATGCAAAACCAGAATATCAACTGTTTCTTCAAAATAATCTAAAGACATTTCTCCTAGTCATGGTACATTGAAACAAGTCATTGCCTTCTGGCTCCATATTCTTTTATACCATCAGCCAAACCAAACATATGAAGAGATCATATAACTGAAAATCGAAAAATTGTAACTTCCATGTTGGCTAGTATACTTTTTTTTTTTTGAAGTTTTTTAAAAATAGAAAGTGAAGAACTTTCCAAGACCCGATTTGACTCAAACCTAGAAATTCCAGAAGAATAAACATAATTCTTTGAGTCCGACCTCCTCCTTGTCCTCGGATTCAAGAACAATCTCCCTATTCGCTGCTGTTATTTCACTCCTACAGCGAGGCCAATCGAGCTCGCTTCCTTTGGAGGAGGAGGTAGAGCTCTCCCAAAAGATGAGGTAAGCAGCGATCAAGAGGATCGCAGAGGAGACCGCCACCTCAACCTCCCACCACGAGGGGAAGAGAACGTCTACCAGCATCTGCAATCGGAGAATGACCGATATCTGGGACTTGGAGATCGAGATGGAGTTTTCTAGGGATTTGGAGCTCGGATTTGCTTCCGTTGGTTGCTCCAAAACGGGAGAGAGATTTATACGACTGTCGCGGGAAGTAAAAGGGCCAAACATCGGCGAAATGCCCTCGTTGAACTAAGAACTAACAAAAACGCCACTGAGCGCGCATGGGGAAGACACGTTCTGCTTGACTTCCGCGTTCCCTTCATTTTAACATGCACCGGTCGTTTAACCAATAGAGTTTGAAGACGTGTGAGCTCATAGCATCGAGAAAGGCAAAGCCTACATAAATCTTGCGGAGTACATAACCGTTTTGATGTCCGGGAGGCTTCGAAACCACTTGTCCGACTCTCTCGAAACGTACCCACGGGAAATCCTTCGAGGGCCCCATCTCTTGTACCACTCGCGATGGAGTCAGGGTTGGCGGGTACGGCCGTGACGGTTCGGAAGAGTAATGATCGGAAAGGGTGGGAGGAGCCGAAAGGAGGACGAGGAAAAGATGGCGGACGGCATTGCAGTGGCTCCGGCATGGCGTCGTCGCTGTAAAGCCACTGCGTTCATGATTTCTATTGCATGTGGGATTCCATTTGAAAGTACAGTGATGTCTTCATAAGCATATCTTTCTCAGCATGCATCACACAGAAAGCTAAAACATATTATATGATTGTGCCGGCGATCGAACAGACCTTTCAGTCTTCTTCCTCTTAACCAAAGAAAACAATGTAATAAACAGATTCTACTAGCTAACTGTTCTCTCTCATTTATCAGGGTGACTTGCAAGAGAAGCGTCTTCTACTCGCCGACCTGAAGTCAGGTCACTGTCAACTAAGCAAGGAGCAGAGTGGCACGCGAGGTGAGGTTGCAGGAGCTAATAATGTTGCTGTGTCCTGGAGACCATATGATGCCGATGCTTGATGAGAAGAAGAAAGAGGAAAAGCTAAGCCATGAAACATCTGTGTTTGTCCAACCCTTTGTTGACCAAGCAATCCTGAGAGTTCAGCTTGGATCCACTGAAGTTACTCTCAGTGATCAGTCCATCTCTTGCCTAAGCTTTTGCTTAGTTATAGCTCGACCACATCAAGAACAAAGTTTAACATGAAGTTTATCTTATCATTACCAAGCTCTAACATGAACAAAGTTTATCTTGGAGGGACCAGATTTACATCAGTCAAGCTTTCACTGTTTGTTCATGAACTCGAGGTGGACATTTCCCTTGAAGAACTCACAATTCCATGGAGATCTGTCACAAAACCTTCATCAGCAAAGTCTAATGGAATTCTAATCAGCTCGTAACTATCTAAAGGCAGCCTCTTCGTGCTGGAGATTGCCTTTGATCCCCTTGATTTGAAATTACAATAAGATTTTTCAATATACCTATTGCAAAATCCCACAAGTCAAATTTTTCATGAGGGAAAATGTAAAAGAAAAAAATAATTACCTTAAAATTGATCTGTTTTATTGTAATGTAACTAAATATCTTTCAAAAAATTCCCTTCAATATTTAAATAATTCATTAAAATAAATGATCTAAAGGAACACAATACGTCATATTTCCACTAGTTTCACAAAGTCAAAAATGTTAGTCAAAATTGGAACTAGTCAACACAAGGTCGCTGGTTCTGAGTCGTTGCCATGGTCAACCAAATGTGACCGTGGGCAAGCATCAAGGCACATGGAAGACCATGTGCCATCGGACCACCAGATCCCACCACGTGTTCCCCATGATGACCTCGTCAAGGGGACCACGAAACGCAAGCGGCACACGCTCATCAGTGCACCACTACACCCATCAAGGCGGCCATCACCAAAAGGTCCAATCATCCAACGGCTACAATCGACGGCTATCTGATCCGTCAATTCGTAGATGGGACGGTCGACATACCGCCGTACATCTGATCCGTTATGTACCGACGGAAGCCTGTGGCCGTCTTCCTTTCGCTCTCCTTTCATTTTCTTTGTCGTTATGTCGATGGATGGCTTCAGCTCCTACTCCCGTTCACAGCTCCCTCCTCTTCGGATCCCTTAATTCCGCCAGCCGCCACGAATTTGTGTGAGTTATACTTCTGAATCGTTGCATCCTTCAAGGATTTGTCTCTCTTTAGGTGGATTTGTGGTTGGATCCCCTTTTTGGGTACAGATTTTGTGGATTTGAGGTACGGAGTAGGGTTTCTCGGTGAATGGATTTGGTAAAGCAGTGGTTTTCTGTACTTTGTTGTATTGGTCGCTTGATTTCGGTTTAGAGCGACCGGGAAACGGTGTTCTTTTCTTGGATGGTATCTAGGGTTCGGCAATGATAGTAAGTGAAAACCTATTTTCTAGTGGTTTTTTACTTCACAAGGTTGGATTTTGCTGAATTCCTTACTTAGTGTAGGCAGTTGATAGTGTGAGTGTTGAGATTGGGGGTGGCAAACTAAAGGGGGGCTTCAACCGTATGGTTTCATTAACCGAGTATTCGAGAGAGCAATGAACACAAAATTGGCATAGTCATTGTTTTTTATTTTTTTCATCAGAAAGCTCACTATTTGTATATCTGTTTGGGTGTCCAGTTGTATTAGTTTTTGATTCCGTATTAATTTTGGTGCAGCTTAGAACTAGTACATTTTATGATGTTCTCTTGATACTCTAGCTACTGTGTTCCGCTTTTGGCAGGGATTTATGCGATGGCTGATACACAATCAGTTGCTACACTTATTGATTTTGCAACTTCAAAGATACAACAATTGCAACAGGCATTTTCCGAACTTGAGAGTCGTAGTGCCATATCCTTGAATTTGAAATGGAAAGAACTTGAAGAACATTTTCATGGACTTGAGAAGTCTCTTAAAAAAAGGTTTGACAGATTGGAAGATCAGGAAAAGGAATATGTTATAAAGGTTACAGAAGCCCAGGAGATGCTGGAGAAGCGGGAGGCTGATGTTGTGGCTAAGGAGCTTGCATCCTTGGAACGATTGCAGGAGAAAAGAGATGCAGCTCTATCTTCTTTGTTTGATAAATATAAAACCTCTTCCCCAGAACCAATCTGTGAGGGTGTCAGCAATGGCATGGCTGATCCTGTTATAAAAGAAAACTTTGATGTTGCAGCTGCCAAATCTGGCTCAGAAGATATATATACTATGGAAAATGCAAATGCTTACACTGAGCCTTCTTCAAGACTGATGAAACTGTGTGAAGAAATGGATGCAGAAGGGCTTCACAAGTTTATTTCAGATAATCGTAAGAACTTGAGCTCTATACGTGAGGAAGTTCCGGTAGCATTAAGAAGTGCAGTCAATCCTTTCATATTAGTATTAGATTCCTTGAAGGGCTTCTATGCTGGAGAAATTCTAGGATCAAATGGCAAAAAAGATGGGAACCTTTTGGGCCTGCGAAGGACTTGTCTCATGTTAATGGAATCTCTTGAACAACTTTTGGCAGATTCCCTTTCTGATGAACAGATACTTACTTCAGATATTAAAGAAAAAGCAAAGGTGATAGCTAAAGAATGGAAGCCAAAATTAGATCATCTTGACATTGAAGCTAGCAGTGGAAACTCATTGGAATCACATGCATTTCTTCAGCTTTTGGCTACTTTTGATATTGCTTCAGAGTTTGATCAAGATGAAATCTGCACACTTATTCCAGCTGTTACACGGCGCCGTCAAACTGTTGACTTGTGTCGTTCACTCGGCCTGTCACATAAAATGCCAGGTTGGCAGTACGTTAATTTGACCATATTGAAAATCCATTTACATGTCTAGAAATCGGATAATTCTTTTTCTTGCAGATGGCATTTCTGTTTTGAACATTTTATTGTTCCTCTCTGCAGTGGTATGCATTATTTGCAGTTTTCTTTGATGAAAAGTATGTTTAGTTATGAATTATGATTGCCATAAAGATATCATCACTGTGATGCTGTAGCAAATGATTTTACTAAAACAGTGTTCAGGAAGACAATAGAAAGCATGAACAACTGGTCTCAGCATGCAATGGTTTATATTTCTTCCTTTTTCCCAATTTGGGACCATGACCTCCAGCATGCAGTTTTTCGTTAAAGCAATCCAATTGATTTGTGATATCCTATTGTTGATGTACTCTTAATTTGGAAATTTGCAAGTATCGATACCTTATTGTTCTGAATCATACGCTTGGCCCCTAAGTTGTTCTTTCCAGAGCCTGCTTTTTCCAGCATGCTTTTGCGACTACTTGAAGTAATAAGTGATCTTATAAATTTTCACCGTCCGTCTGCTACTTTTAATCAACTAGTGCACTATATATTATTTGCAATAAGGAGTAGAATTTGTGATTTACCCTATATTGCAGTTTGCCTGACTTTTTGTTGTGTGTTTGAAAGGCAATTATTTTAGGACGTGACTAGACTAGCTGTTCAAAGTCCATACATGATATCTTAATTATGTAAGGTCTTAACCTGTCTGAAAATTTTCTTGCTTATAAAGGTGATTATGAGTTCTTTGTTTTAAGTTTTGATTTTGGTAAATATATGCTTGGAAAATCTTTTAAATAGTCATTGCAATGGATTGTTAGTATTGTGATTTAACTCCAATTTGATTATTTACTATTTAGAAACTGATTTGTAATATCTCTTCCCCTGCTTATTAATTTTCAGGCTTTCATAGTGAGCATTTGTAATGGTTTGATTTGAATGTCTTATTGCATAATTTTCACAAGTTCTTTTAAAATTTCCCTCATGCCAATTACTTTTCAGTCTCCTTTGTCACAGCCTACTGTTGGAGAGTATTGAATATGTAGTAATACAATAATTACCTGATAGATCTATGATTCTTTATTTAATTCTATGCATGTCTTTTTGTTTCATATATACTGACTGAAACTGTTGATTCCTAGGTTTGATCAATGTTCTACTTGATAGTGGGAGGGAAATTGAGGCCATTAATCTCGCATATGCATTCAAACTAACAGAACAATTTGCACCAGTGCCATTACTTAAATCATATTTGAAGGAGGCAAAAAAGGTGTCACAAGGCAAAGCTGGAAGCATGTCTCCTGGTGCACAGGTTTGTCTTCACTAGCTTGATACATTTTCTTTTGTTCACCCATCTATATTGCCATCTGCATCTTCTCTTATATCTAGTGGTGACTACCATCTATTACCTATTTATTTTTCTAGACTGTTATATATTCATCAAATAGTTTAATAGAAACTAGTTTCATTTGGTATTAACAGCCAGTGCAAGGATTTGTGTGTGAGACCATAAACATTGTTAGAGGGAAGGAACGGGCAGAGGAAGAGATAGATGACAAAGATTGGTATAGAGAGAGGGATGGCCGGTGGTGCATTTTTTGTTAGGGCTAGAGTTAATTTTGTGTTGCTTTCTAGTGATAAATTATGTATGCACTAATATGATTGGATCAGACTTGATTGACACCTGGCTTGATTGTAAAATGGGTTGTCGGATCAGTTTGATATTCCAGTTCTTGAATCATAAACTTGATCCATAGCTGGTTTGGACTGCATCAGACCTCATAAGAATCTATATATTTTACAGCCCTATTTTAAATTGGATCTTTGTCATTGTTACTCACATGATTGAAGGCCTTGGAAGATGGATCTGCAACAAGCTTCCACTGGTTAAGCTTCTACAGCTAATGGAGATAAGAACTTGTTACAAAGGCATCTTCCTTTTGTATCTTCCCTTTCTCGACCTTTTGATCCCACTAGCATGCTTGTGTCGACAAGCAGCATGCCAGACATATTGATGGCATGTATTTGGCAATACAATCAGTTGGCACCTGGGAAGCACGGGCACGTGAACTTGGTGGACATATCCATGTCGGACACACGTCGAACATGGATATATCGCCAACACAGCTAGACGCGTGTCTTTATTTATTTATTCTTTTTTATTTGGGATATAGTGTATTTGTGTCGAACACTTCTCCTACGCCCTTCCCCTTCCTCGTGTGACGCTCGTGTGCAGCGTTGAGTTGCATGGTCTTCACGTGAGGACGGGGAAGCATGGAATCGAGGGAAATCAAGCCCACTTATATATGTTGTCCATGGTAAGGTTGAAGCCACCGTTGTGCGCACCATGACTTGTCGATGACCTCACCCTTGTTAGTGACTTCACCATCACTTGCACATGACTCGTGCGGTTGTGCTGTCGGCGACCTCACCCTCGTCGACGACCGCACGAGCACCTGTCGCGCAACCCATGTGGTTGTGCCCTCGACGACTCGTCGACGACTTCACCAGCACCCACACGACCATGCCCTTGACGGTCTATCGACAACCTCACCCTTGTCAGCGACTTCACCAGCATCGTCACATGACCCGCACGGTCGTGCCCTCGACGTCCCGCCATTGGCAGCCTCTCTTGTGGGTTTCCATCGACATCCCTCTTGTCGATCCATCACCTGGCACATATGCAAACAGCAAACACCGCAACCTCAACCGCAGAAAGCCTTCTCTCTATTTCTTTATAGTATTTTAGTTAAGGAGTTGATCACCTTTTATATTCCCTAAATTACAATGTCACCTAACTATATTGATGATAAATGAGGTTATTGTCTCTTATTAGTAATAAGTCCTGTATAAAATTTATAACAGAATTAAAGTAAATTATGTGGATATATGCTAATAATTTATTAAAAAATACCAAATGTACTATAAAATTTAAATTTAAATTCTATAAAACTCATATTAATCAAATATTGTATATATTAAAAATACATGTGTTCTTGTCGTGTCCATATCCTAATTTTTTAAAAAATTATGATGTGTTGTCGTGTCCATGTCATGTCGTGTTGTGTCCATGTCTATGCTTCTTAGGTTGGCACATCTGATATACGAAAGGGTTTTTTTTATCAATAACACCGCAGGAATGTGCTTATATGGGAGTTCAAAATGGAGCATCTCATTGCTAGAGTTGGGTTCTCACCGTTACACTTTCCATAGCTCACATTTCATCAATCTAAATAGTTTCTGATAGGTTGTTATCCCTCTTAAAATAATGTCAAGTTTGGCAGATATGTTATAGTAAGTCCATTGAAATCAGACTACGTGAGCAATAAATCTTCAAATTGATCTATTAATCAGAGATGAATTATGTCTCACTTATTAGTTTTTCTCTTTTCATACTCTTTTTCTGCTCCCTGTGATTGGTGACAGTTATTTAATGACCTTGGAGTAATTATCAACTTAAGATGTCCTTAGGCTTCTTCACCTGAGTCTTTGCTAGTGTTCTTTTGGCGGCAAATATGAGCAAATATGAGCAAATATTTACAATATAATTGAACATAAATAGGTTTCATGTAAGTTTGAATAGATAGGTAATCCAGTGGATTGTAATTAAATTTTGAGAATACACATGATATCTGGTCACGGGGTGTCACCAGAAAAGTCTCGTCTATCTTGAATTTGATTTATATCACCTGATGTTTTCTTTAGAATCTACTGGTTTTTTCTTTTTTTGGCAATCATTTCTGATCAAAGGTACATCTGTGACTTTCTTCTTGTGGAGGTTTTAAGTACCTAAAATGTATGTATTGCATTTCTTTTAGATACAGCTGGTCTTAGATAACATTTCTTTTAGATATCTATATGTTTTGGCTGTCGTGTTGCTTTAGCTATTTTTCTTGTTGTCTTTGAAGTAAACTAAGGATCACTTTGCTGTGTACCAATATAGTATATGATGCTAGCATACTGATGAGGATTCAAGTAGAAATTACCAAACTATAGTGGTATATGCTAGTCTGACCTGTAAACTGACCATGTCGAGAAAATACTGACAATATGATATCTCAAGCAGTATACCATGGTATACCATACCGTATTAACGCCACTAATGGATAGTTATTCATTTCAAATATTTTGCCTTTCCACACATCCATTTTTGCTGACATGTATAATAAGCATGGATGGGTACAATGTTTTTGTTCTGGTAATAAGGTTCTTGCTTAAAACCTCCCCAAATTACTGTTTTATATCAAAAAGCACTTAAATCACAACGTAAGGCAGTCCGATTGAAATTTGTACATTCTAGATAATACCATGTATCACATAGCATTATTTTCTGATATCTCAATTAATTAAAAAGTTGTTAACTATTTCTATGATTACAAGATCATGATGCTTTTAGGTAGCTACAGCATAAATTGTGTTATTTCACTGTCTTCTGGTCCTTTGAAAAGCATTAGTAACAAACAAATTAAAAGATTGTATCTTCTGGGATATTGTTTAATCGCTGTTAGTAATAGAAAAACCCATTATCCATGGTAACATGTGCAATGGGTCAATATAATATTTTTTTTATTACTATAACTAATATTTTAGGTGAATCTTCATGGCTGCACCTGATAGGCAGTTTGAGAATATTAAGATTCTATAGTACGTAGAGATGATAATATTGTCATCAGCTATACAATATGAATTTGATCTACTCAAAGATAGTTCTTTTCTTTTGAAAAGGTTGAAAACTCAAAAGCAATACATTACCTAGGATTCTATATCCATTCTTGACTTATATAAAATTCAAGATAAAGATTCAATTTTAATCATGAATTATGTTGATATTTTATTAATTTTTGTGTGGCAACTAAGGGTTTAATCCATCTCACTTTATTAATGGGCATTAGCTCTATGTTTAAACAAAACAATGTTACCGGTCTACCAGATATAGGATTTGCTTTTCCCTTCTTAACTTTGATGTCTTTTCTCCTTATTTCTGAACTCAATGATATATGACATATGTGCCTTGGATGGGTTTGTCTTGCTAGCTTGGTAAGAGGACAAAAGAGAGATAAATTTGTCATAGCCAGCCATGTGTACCTATGGCAGTCCCATGACCAGTCACAATGTAAAATGGTATTTTTAGAGTTCTTTTTATGGTTTGCTCATTGGTTGCATGAACTGCATTGTACAAAAGTTAAATGTCCTACGTTCCAAGTGGTCTTTAAGGTACGACCTTCTCGACTTTAAGGTGCATTGGTAATATCTGGTCCAGCATGTGGGCGTCTATTTACTTTAGAAGGGTGCCTGTTTGACTTATTTGAAATGTCATCAGCTTTAATTAATAAGTTGAGAATTTTTTTTTACTTAATTTCTGGGTCAAATTTCAGCATTAATGCATATTATGTAGTTAATTTTCTCGTCTAACTATGTCTCGAGGATTGCATCCCAGTAATATGTTTGTTTGACGTGCCAATTACTTGGAATAATTAGTTCCCTTTTGAAACTGATTCTATGGCCAGCTATTATTTTCTGTCACACCTCACTATTGTGATGTAGAACAACTGTTGTTTGGACATATGATAGGATGAAGCATTTATGTGGCCAGAATTATCTATAATTGAAATACCAAATCCGGGAAAACATGAGTCGTTGGTATATATGATCGACTGCTCCAATTTTCTGAAAACTGCAAAATTTTGTGTTTTGCTTGACAACTTGTACGCATCACATGTCCACATATTTAACAAACACTAGGGTAATCTTGCTACTGCTCCAATTTTCTTTTACTGTCTAACCTGTAACTTGCGATTGTTTGTGTCACAAGTCTTTTTTGATTATTTCAGAATGAAATAAATGAACGTGAACTATCTGCCCTTAAAGCTGTCATCAAGTGCATCGAGGAACACAAACTTGAGGAGCAATACCCTGTCGATCCACTTCAGAAGCGTATCCTCCAGCTAGAAAAAGCGAAGGCTGACAAGAGGAGGGCTGCTGAAGCTGCAAAGCCACAATCCAAGAGACCCCGAGCCACTGGCAGCGTTTACACTCCTCGAATTACCAGCATGCCTGACAAAAGCTTCTACCGTGCCCCGCCTGAGAGATTCGCGTACCCGTACGATAGGCAGTATGTCTACCCAGCTGAAGCTCACCATCCTACACTGATGGGTTCTGCTCCATACACCATCTCCCCTCCACACACCACGTACTATGGAAATGGCTACCAGGTCCAGTACCAGACTGCCTACCTGCACTAATGGAGAAGGCTAGTGATCATGATCTCCTCTTAACTACTAGCTTTTTAACCCATCGGGGTACTTCCAATATGTTAATTAACTAAATCTGCATAACCAAAAGATTAGCCTGTTAATCGTGCTAAGTGGTTGCCCATCTTCTAGTGGTGGAAGCTTATGTGTTGTTTATCCTTTTTGACTGAATGACACAAACTCTTCTAATGCCCAGTTTGATCCTATGTTCAAGTTCTTAAAACAATTTTGTCTTCTATGCTTCTGTGTTTTGATTTATACTTCAAAGAGCTGTTGGTCTAATGCTTATGATTTTATTAGTTGCTTTCTGGCTTTTCAACATTGATTGCTCATGAGGTTTCCTCAAGTGCATGTGGGACATTGGTTTCTTCTTGATTCACTAATTATCATAAGTTACTTTGCCTTGACAGTTCATTAAAATTTTCTCCTCAACATTGATGTCAATACATGTTATGCTCCTTTGCCTCTGCAGTCCCTTCTTGCTAATCAGGTGTATTTATCGGTTCGACTCGACGGCAGCAGTCGTCTCCTCATGAGCTGACACGAATCCGAAACTGCAAACCTTTGGTTGCGACCGATACTTGTGCTAGATTCGACAACCGAAACTACAAACATTTGGTTGCGACCAATGCTTGTGCTAGAGTCTGCCCAAGTATATTGGAATGGTGAAGCTTGTTGGAAGCCTCATGTCACGTAAGGCAACACAGTCTATACGTTGCAACCAAGCTCACAAAACTTTCTAGCTGGATCAAAGGAAATCTATCAGCACTTTCTAATAATTAGGGCAAGAAAAACTTTCTAATAATTATGGCATTCTTTCAGGCTAAACCACATTACCGATACATGCTTGAAGAGGCACATCAAGAAAGATCTTTCGGGTTCCACCACCAAAAGGCAACTTTGGCCTCCAACATGAGTAAATTATGCGACGAAGCTCGAGACTAAGATCATATAAGCAGGCTTCATGATGATGTTGTAACAAGCAAAAATGGTTGGTGCATTCAGCTAAAAAACTCGACAGGCTGAACAACATCCAACAAAATGAAACAGTCAAGTCTGTGAATAGGTTTTTATATGGAGTACAAGTTGAATTTGTTCATGGTGATCGGAACAGTAATGGAGAACGATATCGATAAGCTTGTCTAGAATAACAATTCAGCACTGATTGCATTTGGAAGTTTGTGAAGCAATAGAAACTAAAGCTCTCCCTCATTCTTACGACGATAAAGATGTATCATCATCATCAACATGTTTCATTCCACATGCCTCTAATTCTTCTCGACAACATAGGAAGCTACATCTAGCCATCATATGGTCATTTAAGCCTTGGGCACGGAATAGAAGTTGAGGTAATACCAAGCTGCAAAGGCAGAGCCGAGGACCAGCAGAGGCAGGAGGAAGTCCGAGAAGTTGTAGGAAGGGGGTGGCTGCTTCCGCTGCAATCGCTGTAGTCCGCTGACTGGTTTGCTAGGCTCATCGACGGCAACATGACCCTCGACGGTGCCGATCACATAGCCTTCCATCATGATAATGGCAGTGGAGCTGTGACCCACATCATCGAATGCTTGGGTAGCATCGCCACCGGCTTCAGATCAGATCAATTCCAACCAATCACACCACAAATACATTAAATAATCAGTGATTTACGGATGCCACAAAAAGGAAATTCACATGCATATCTTTTAGATATCGTTGCTTCGCATGATTTAACTGATCAACAAATTAATTTGAGCAATCAGCATACATATGGCTCAAATAGTATATAATTACTAAAACATTTCTTTTTTGAGAAGTAAGGAAACCAACGACTCTAAGTCTATCGGGTCACCCTTACCCACGTAGGTGCTTTTGGGGGCTCACGAGCTATGCGAAACGGATAATTCCTCGCGAGTCTACGGGACTTATCAAGATCCGTATGAGAGAACCCAAAAATACAACAGGAAGATTCAGAAAAGTTTATACTTAAATTCCAATTTTCACTTTATAAAATGCATTTGGACACAACTCTCTATTTAGTCTGACCTATTCAGAAAATTTTGTTTTCCGGGGTCTACTTAAATTCCAAATTTCACTTTATAAAATCCATTGGACCAAACAATTCTACTCTATTTAGTCTGACCAAACTCGAAGTCCTTTTTATCCATCTTCATTTACGATAACCAGTTCTAGTTGTTCTTCTTCGTCAAGCTCAAGTTCCTCTTTTTCATCACCTTGATTTAGGGTGACCAGTTCAAGTCGTTGCTCCTTTTTCTTCTTCCACATCTTCTTGTTCTACTCCCAATCGTTTTATCCTCTTCATACCAGGGGGAATTGGGTCTTTCGATAGTGGCTAATTTTTCCTATCGAATAAGATGATGCAATGCAACAACACCACATAGCAGTGCCAGAAATCAGGTAAAAGTCTATAAAATCTGCTGCATTAGATGTTACAAAGCTGGAACAAAAGGAACATACACGACATGTAAAGAAAAAGAACGGAGATGGATCAGTACAAGCGCACCTGACGCATGGAGGATCACATCCTCCCCTCCCGGATGATCCTCCAAGAAGGTGGTCACATCATAAACCTAGATTACAGTACACCAAACCATGAAAACATACATCAAGCTAAGAAAGCCAAACAGATGGAAGCCTCGGGAAGAGTGTTGGGACCTTGCCATGGATGGACACCCAGCAGTCTTTCTTGGAGGCGTGGAGTGAGATCTCAGAGGGAGAGTACTTCTTCAAGGCCTGCATGGTGGACTTGGGGAAGTCAGGAAGAAGAAACGAAGAGAGCTCACCTCCTCCTCTTAGTTTGGCGTATACTGGTGGCAGATGCAGAGAAATATGAAGACAAGAGACGTGCTATTGTAGACTCGGGTGATGGATCACATGCAACTACAGTTGTAAAACCCAAGCTACAATTTTATACTTCGCATGTGAGAGGCATTGATGGATTTGATTCACCTAAAATGATATATATATATCATTGCCAAATCTTAAATTTAAAATCTTATCATCGTAATTAATCATCCCTTTATAAGTTATTCGAATACAAAATAAAGTTGTGAGAGCAAATTTGCTATTTGCAGAATTTGAAAGGTTGGATATGCAACTGGTACGTACGTGTCAATGGTTGCGTGGCTATGCCATACGCAGTTTAGAGAGTTGCAGCCAATCCGACTGTCGCTGCTGCGTTGAGAATTGTGCCCTGAAATCAAACGGGCGCAATCGTGGGAGAGATGCGCGAGCGGTCAAGATCAATCGACGTCTGACGACGAGCACGTCGTCCGATGTGACCACGTGCTGCACGAGACACGAGGACGGCGAGAGCGTGGCGAACGCGAAGGCACGAGGGTCGGAGCTTATTTGGCTGCGTGTGAGACAGAAGCTTGCAAGTTGCTGAAAAAATCGCACAACCGTATCATCGCTGATTGATTGATGCTGACGTGGGAAATTAGATCCAGATTTACGTAAAAAAAAAACATTATTTTCCATCATAAGCCTCCGATATCTAAGTCACAATCTCCCTAACGTTTAATTAGAAATAATACAAAATTTTAAGAAGACATTCAATATATTGCAACAATGCATACTATAGTTATCATTCGAACTAATTAGGCTGATGACATTAAGACGATAAATCATAGAGCATAATTTTATTTTATACACAATGGCAATAATAGAACATTTAAGAAATAAGACTTATAATTCAAGCATTGGATCTAAATACAATCGATTAGTTTTTGTAAACAAGAAAATTTGGTGGGTCCAATCCAAGCCATATTATTCTGCTTTTTCTTTATTTTATAAATAAGACAATAATTACAAGTTCATACAGAGTTGGGATAATATGAGATAACTGATATCTGCTTAATCACACACAATATCAGTTCCAATCACTTTCACGCACTTAAAATGAGATCAAGATTAAGCTGAAGCATCGAATGAGAAATTTTGAATTGGCTAATTGTCAGTTTCTCACCGGTAAATCTCCGTACGAGTAGCCTCGTGCATTGGGTACATCCTGACCGACGGACTTATATAGTCTCGGCATTGGGTACACCCTGATCGAATACGAGTAGCCTCGTGTATTGGGTACACCCTTCACTGTGACTTGTATAGTCCAAGAGGGATTCTCAATCCAACGGCCTGACCGACCACCGATAACCAAGCAGATAAATAGTGAAGGGGCCGAGGCTGGTTGTTTGCCGCATTGCTTCCGATCAAAACCTTCAGCCAGTCACTAGTTCCACAAGGATGTAAAGTATACCATGGTCGACGTAGGTAAGGATGATCCTGCAAGTCTCGAGAATTCAGCCCATTTCAGCATATGAAGGTCAATAATCATCACATACTGCAACAAAAGAACAAAAAAGTTGTCTTTGCACCAGTTGAAGCATTGCATTCTCAATAAAATCAATATATTAAGAGAGTATAAACTAGAAGCAAGACACCGAAAGTGAGTACCTCCTGTGTCATGAATGTCCATTTTGATTCCCTAAGTCCTTTGAGAGAGTATGCAGGAAGATCTTTCTCGATGTCTTCCAATTTCAGAGGGCAGCCATCTACATCAAGTTAGCTCCCACTTTTATAAAAAGATGCAAACAAGGTCATGCACAAACATAACCTGAAAAATGCATACCCAATCGATATCCACGGAAATAAAGAACGGGAACCCTAAAATTGAAGCTGTAAACTATGTGGTAATCATAGACATGAATGTCATCTTTGCCGCAGCTCTGAACCTAAAAAAACATAGCCAGTTTTATCATTAAGAAATCACCAAAAAAGGAAAAGAATATCATACACACAAAGGGAAAAAAAAAGCATGCCAAGAAAGCTGCACTAGTAAATAAATGCCTGATTCTATATAGCTTCATAATATTTGGATACGAACAAACCAAGAGCCTTTTAAATCAGACAAAATGTCAGAGTGAGAACAGAATTACTAGTTAAAAATATAACGGAAGTGAATAAAAGTGCTAACTCATTAAGGATTGCATATTACAAGTTAAAAATGAGTTTCATAAGAATCAATGAGGAAATAAGTAAGAGGTGTAACATGCAAGGATTTGCAAACATCGTGGCACAGATTCGTATCAGACACCTCTTTGGCATGCACAATCCCAGTTGGCACACCCCTATGCCATGCGACAGAGTAACTGTTCTAACCATATATTCTACGCCGATCGACATGGCGCATGTCGGAACCTTTCTAGAATAACAACTTTTGACGCATAATGGCACGTAACTTATGCATCTAATTTGCAGATTGTCAAAAATCGAAGATAGTAAAATTGTATCGGATGAAGTTTACCAAGGTGGCATCGTCAGATAGGTCTTCGTCTCCTAATATGCTCTCCTCATGACTAACTTCCTGAAAAACACAACAAAAACTGATAGCTGCCTAATTTTTCTCACAATCTACGGAAAAATAAGTTTGCAACCACACCGACCTCACTTGCGTTCTGATGATACACGTTCTCCATTGTTAAGTATCCTGCTGCCTAAGCATGACCAGAGAAAAGATATACGTCAAATTTATAGACTGGATCGGTCAGCCATAACAAGCAGAAACACCCACATTGCACGACGAATCACCGACCACCGGAAAAGGTTCCCACAACCATTGGGGAAGAGAATCATTGACCTCTTTCCACCTCTCACAAAAAGCAGCTACAGAAGAATTGAAGTCATTTGGCGAAAGAGTTCCGTCCCACTGGCGTGCACTCGTCTCTGATTGCATATCGGGCAGCAAATCAACAAGTCATATATGAAAGACAACACAAGATCGCGATGCACAAATTCAGAAACGACCTGTGCCACATTAATAATACACTGTTATTAACAGCTTAATTCAAGAAACAGCGACGAAAATTAAGAGTAAAGAGAGAAAGAGAAATTAAGGCATCCACCAACAGCTTCATATACTTGGTACAAAAGAAAGCTACAAAAAATTCCTTTTGACACTGGCAGAGATGAGATCCAGTACAAACCAGGAAGCTCGTCTTCTGCAACGTCGGAAGCAAAACACTACAGAACTCAATCGGAGAAGGTACAGCTCAAAAGAGAGATTCATACTCTAGTATGCAATCATGCTCGATACGCATTCCCATCAGGTTCCAGATGTTAAGCACGTGAAGGGTGATCGAAGAAGCTTTGCCAACTAAAGCACAACAGATCTTGCAAACTACGAGATGAATCGATACGTCAATGGCAAGGGCTCATACCATTCAGATTCAAAACCCGCGGCTTTCCGTAGAGTCGAGAACGCGCGGCAGCCGTGGCGTGAGCGCGGCGGCAATGGCGTCAGGCCGCGAGAGACAGAGAGAGGCCGGCCGCGACGGGATGGATTAGGGCACGGCTCCGAGACGATCCTTTCTGCGTTCTTCTTTATGGGATACTCAAGTAAAAGTCTTAAATACCCTTCGAAGTCTAAGTTGGAACGGAGGGATAAGAATAGACCGGTTCGCTTCGACGGTGTGAGTTTAGACCGGCTGAGCATGGTTCGGATTTAGTGCAACTGGATCGGTCCGGTCCGGTCCGGTTCGACATGATAAGGATATAGTCCGACCTTCACTGCTTACTGCTTACCGCTGTACAGAGCTGTTTTTGTTTTGAGTAGAACTGAAAGAATAAGCATAGAAGAAAGAAGCTTTGTGAAAAGTGCAGAAAATAGATGAAACATTAAATGGTACAAGTAAAGAACAATTAGGAGAAAAAGAAAAGGGGGATTCTTTGTTCCATCTTGAAATGGCTTATTTGGGAACAAATAAAGAAGAGCCTCAATGAAATAGTAGAAAGTTGATGGAAAGGATGTATGAAAACAGAGCTTGTTTTCTCTTGAGTTTCAAGATGTATTTAGGAGAAGAATTATAGAAGAGATAGCCTTTTTGTTAATAAGGTTGAAGAAAAGAGAGGGAAAGAATCTAAATAAACAACAAAAATTTGATGGAAAGAAAATTCTAGCTTCTACTTTCCAGCAGGACTTCATCTCTTCAAACCATTCAAAGCATATGAAGAACAAAAGAAGGGATAACCTTTACATTATCCTTCATTTCATTCGAGAGAGAGAGAGAGAGAGATTCTTCATCTTTGGTACTGAAGTAAAGAGAAGACTTTAGGACACAGTGTGGGGCCATGTCAGAGAGGCCCAAGAACAAGGGCATGGAGATCACTTCTTTGGACGAGTGAAGGGATCAAGAAAGAGACAATGGGATCAGAGGAAAATGAAAGGTGGCCAGGGGAGAGGAACCTTAACATCTGTCCTCCCAAAAGAGCAGAAATATGCCTCACAATAGCATCAGCATCCCCCACCACTCATGCATGGGGTGAGTACCAGTTGAAACTTCAACATGGAATGCAGTGTATCCACCCCAAAAGTCTCACGCTTCTTCCTTCTTCCCTCATCTTCCACAGATAAATATGAATCACGCATAGCGACATGAGCAGCGTCAGTCCATCTCAGCGTCACAGAAACTGCCTTCTCCTTGGAAGCGTACATCTCATCAGACCTTTCCTGGCATGACCAACCTTCTCCTGTTACTCCTTGGCTTGTTTGCAGCACAAGAGCAAGAGAGAAACCATGCACTGATAGTTGATTCTTCTTCCTCTCTTCCTGATGGATTTTAAAGTGAAGGACCATTCGAGCAGGACAGTACCTCATTCAGTTGTTCCTAAGAGATGCCAGAAACAAGCTGGAGAGGTAATTATTTCTGAGTAGTTGAGATGAGACTACTTTGTCAGTTCGATCATTCTTCTAATATGATGTCTGTTCTCCTCACCCCCTGCTGCAGAAAGCAGAAAGATTAGGATAGCTTTTGATGTTAAAACATGTAAAAGATATCTTGGTTTCCAACATGTCTTTGAGAGAAGATAGCGCTCGCTGTTGTTATTTTCTGTGAACAAGGGTTCCTGGAGATACCATTATGACTTTCTGCTGGATCGAGATCATAGTTCCAGAGTTTCCATTGCAAAGTCTGATCCAGTTCTCTAAAAGGAGTTGATGGCATGTTTGTTGCTGTCTCAGGAAGCCAAACATCTGAGTCTGCCACCGGGCTTACTGGTTTGAGCATCAGCATCAGCAAAAACCAACTTGGCAGAGTCCATCAACCCAGACAGATTCAACAGTTTGTGATCGGAAAGCTATGCCGATGAAAGCGTCTAAGAAATCGTAGATCAGTTGTTTGATAGGCCGTATATCGAAGCGTCGAGCTCTCAGACAAGGAACTCGAAAGCAACAAACAGATTGATATGAAAGCTGTCGGAGATGGTTCGATCGAAGGCACAAGGAGGAGGAACAGAATAGTGAGCGGTGCGAGACCGCCGCAAGAGACAAACTATGGAGCCACTTCTTCGAACTATTTCAGCGTGGAGTCATTCCTCATCCTTATCTGCCTCACCATGTCGCTGTTGATACTTCCTCTCGTCCTGCCTCCGCTGCCCCCTCCACCTTCCATGCTATTGTTGCTTCCCGTAGCCATACTAGTCTTACTCATGATCCTTGCTTTTATGCCCTCGGACATCAGCAACATGGCCTCCCCTTATCTGTAGATAAGCAAGCTGTGAATTAGCACAAGATATATAAGATAATGAAGCCTTTTGTGTGGTTAGCTTCAACACCAGGCTACATTGGATATTGCAGACATGTGTTCATCGTTCGAAGGAGCAATTAACTTACTATTTCTTGTCCTGCATTCATGCTAACTTCTAATACCGACTTCCACTGTTGAGGTTTGGTTGGGTACGAGTCCTTGCAAGACCATCTCTTGCTTCCATTTATTATAGAGATTTCCACCTGTTTCGCATGGTTCAGAGTGTAGCAATCAGAGTATGTTCACTCTCCCCTGAGATTGTTTCGCGTCCGGGTCTTACAACCTTTATTCCGCAGTTGCTGCACCAGGGTGGTGGAGGAACTTACCAGCTCGGTCGATATAGAGAGGACTTTGCATGATCCATGAATCCAGGCAAATTATCTGTCCGGAGGAACATCCTGTCATGCTTGTATCATCGTCATCGAGCACCACCATTCCTGTTTGACAGGGACAGAAGGCTAGTCTTCACAAGCAGCCATCATCACTGCATCTTTGTTCTTTATCCTTTTTCCAGTACATCCACTTTGGACGACTCTCGTCTCTTCCCCCCCCACTCTTCCCCCCACAACTTCATGAAGAGGAGAACTGGCCGAGGATGAGGATCCAAGGATCGTAGCAGTTGGAAGTGAGGTTTCTTGTGATTATTGTGGCAGAATGTGAGCCTTCTCCTGCTAACGATTAAAATAAAGGAGTCGTTAAATAGAGTTGTAGAAATGATTTATGTATGCAGCATTATCCTCGTAAGCAATATATATATAGATACAGTGTGTCTCAGACCTCAATCATTGTGTTCACTGTTTTGCCTGAAGCATAAATATTCTGTATCAGGAGGGCAATCAAAGAGTTAATATCCGACAGGTCTAAATGACAAAGGAGATGTGTTGATCAAAAACTGGTGCACGTGTCTCATTACAAGCACCCATACATAACATCAATCAACAAGCACCAAAATGGTCCCAAAAAATGGCCCAAAGATGGTCGTCACTGTTTCCGAGCAGCATCTTTTAGACAACTAACACTTTGGATGGCGAAAACTACCAGATACATTCTATAACAGGAGTGGTTCAGTTGTCCGACAATATACAAATTTAACCTGATAAGTGTACCAGGACATACTGGGAAAAGAGAAATCAAACCAGGCACTAGAACAAAAAAAAATCCCCTCGATGATACGATCAGACACTCCAATACAAACTCAAGTATTTTTGCTGGACAATCTTCGTTTCTTAAGCCTCTCACTCCTCAATGGAACAGTGATTTGAAGCCTCTCACTCCTGGAAGGACCAGAGCCTTGAGGCCTCTCGCTCTTTGAAGGACCAGAACCATGAAGCTTCTCGCTCTTCGAAGGACCGGAAACATGAAGCTTCTCGCTCCTCGGAGGTCCAGAACCAGCAACTGAACCTCCCCGTCGCTTCTTCTTGGGCTTTCGTCCTCTCTTTTTTCCTGTGTAGCAGGGCTTCAGAACCGGCTGCTGTGGCATATCAACATTTTCTGTTGCTGGACCTGGTTCTGGCATTGAGTCCTTAGGGGCCGTGCTCTCATCTCCAGAATGGGTCTCAGCTTGTGTCTTTATCATCTCTTGAAGTTCCTCTGTTGCATGGCTGACTTTCTTAAAGTTCTGATAATCATTTTCAGCTACTTGGTTATCTATCAAAATGTCATCTGCACTCTGCAACACGAGCGAGATGATAGTACAATCAATTAAGAGAATAAAAAATTTATTTCCTTGATAATATACTTGGAAGTAGGACTACCGAATGATCAAAGCAATATTCTTTTAATTTAACCACATACTTCAATTGAGCACATAATGAAGAAGCCGGGAAATTCAATCTGGTCTCCAGAACCAAAACTAACCTCTTAGTTCTGATTACTGGCTCATAATACCAACATACAGTAACATGACTTGAAGCACTACTGCACTTTACAGTCATGATAAGTATATGCTCCCGAAGTTTCATCAGTCACATTGGTAAGGTTGACAGAAACAAATTAGATCTAGAGATAGATGGTCATATAACAAATAAGAATTTGATTAAGAAGCTTTTCAGAAATTTACTGCCATACAAGAGACACACTAAGAAATAAAATTTTGACATAAAAAAAATCAGCTAAGCAAGGTCTTACATCTCTGCATAGGTCTCTGATACGATCCTGATCCAGGGATGCATCAGCAGACAACAGACCACCAACCGTGCTTTCAATAATATCAAGATCAGCAGCATCCCCATAGCTTGAAGCTGCACTTTCAGGCATAACCATATCCTCCATCTCATACTCAGATACACGATGGGGTGGACTACCCAGCAATCCAGCTGGCATTGAATCTGTGTTATTTCTAGGTGAATCACTAACATTTTGAGCATAGCCGGCAGGAACATCTCCCAGAAACAAATTGCCAGAAGAAATCTCTCTGGCATTTCTGCAGATGCAATTGTTGAGAAGAGTCTTCAACTTTGTAACTCTAGATTGGACAGCTTCAATGTTCAAAAGAATCTGTTCAAGAGAACTATCACAGCCTTTCAAGCCAAGCAACCAGTCATTATCATCATTGCCCCTAATGTTATCCTCTGCTGTAGTCAATAACAAATTAAGCATCAAAATTTGCTAATGTTAAATAAGGGTTGTGCTATTCGATGTAAATAAAAAACCACAAGAGAAGAAAAAAACTGCAGAGATAATTTAATTAGAGAACAAATACAATTTGAATTCCATAATTAGAGCTCAAGTTTTGAATTCTGAACTATGTTCAAGTCAATAAGTGCAGAATGTACCTAGAAGTGCATCACATTTCATAATTAGAGATAAAGTTTTAATTTCTGAACAATGTTCAAGTAAAGTGCAGAATGTACGTAGAAGTGCATCACTCAAATATTATTTCCCTTACTATATTTTCACTAATTAGGCACGATAAGTGCTCTATAAAAAATGTGTCACATATAAACACTTGTCAAACTCAAAAGATGTTAAAGTTTTTTTTTTTTCATGTAACATTCATCCGAAATCACACTGAGGGTATGTCATTTCAATCATTCGATTCTATACAAAAATGTACAGGGAGAGAATTTGAATGATTGAATTGAATGCAAATCAACTTATCCTGCATCACTCATCTGGGCCTCAATGTAAGATTAGCTGGCATCTGAATGAATCAGGCTGCAGATATCACCAATCCAGACTTTCACACAAATTCATTATCTTAGAATTTGCTTAGTCTACAACCAAATAAGTGCATATATCAAAAATGACATATTTAGTAAGCACAAATAATATTTGAATCATTTAGTACCATTATTAGGTATCAAGCACAACAGTAGAACGTATCAATCCTATAACAACAACAAACAAGCCATTGGGGATCCATATCAGTCCTATAACAACACCAGACAAGCCATAATATCTATATGGGAACAAATAAAAGGGTGTCCATCCTCTTATCAGTTTTCTTAGTTTATGATAAGAACATGTTACGTAAATAGAGTAAGCAAAATTGTCCATTAGATTTCTTCGCAGCTTGGCAGGCAAGGGATTGCGAGAAATATTTAACAGGAAGAACTAATAGTCCAACTTCCACATAGAAAAGAAAATTAAAAGGAGCTTTAAGCTTTAACAGTGAAGCCTATTACCCTTCTCCAATCGGATACACCATTAGATGGTAACAGCACAATCCTGTATTTAAAAATTTGATGGTAGAAATTCTCTACTTTTGAAAAAAATTGAAATCTTGTAAATATTTGAAAAACAGTAAGCAAAATGATGTCAAACATCTTTATTTCATGTCCTGATGTGTTTACTTATAGAAGTACGAAGACAAGTAAAAGTATGTCAAATGTCACACAAGCTATTGATAATAAAATATATACTTAAAAATTAAAATACTAAATAAATGCGGCAAAAACAATTTACTACACCATAGTTCTTTTCATTTCATTTATAATCAGCAGATTTTATGAACATTAGCACATAAAAATCGTACCTAAATCACCACAATCATCATCAACTGAGTGGCCATCTGTATCTGTTCTTTTATTTTCTGCACAAGAGTAACAAAAGTTACTAAATATATTTTATTCACATGGAATAGAGAAATTAATGACATGAAACTCATAGCTACCATAATAAGAGAACACAACATGATTTGACATATATGATGACAGGTCAACTTTGTCTTCATTTCTTTTTCTCTTCCTCCTTTTCATGGCTCCTCTCCAATGGGTTTGAGATGTCAACGGCACTGCTCTAGAGACAGAACTATCTAACTCGATCATCTTTGACTGTAGTTCCTTTTCATGCTTGTATGCAGCAAGCTCCTTATCATACTTTGAAGCTTGTGAGAGCAATTCTTTCATGCGCAATTCTAACCATTGGCACCTCCACATGAGAGGGCTGATAAATTTTCTCCAGTGAGCACTCACTTTCTTCTTCCTGAAAGTTGTGTTAAATTCTATGAAGCATAAGATATCAATATTATCCATAAATCAAATGGCATTATAAGACATACAACTATCGGAGATAACCAAGTATAAAACAAATTTGTTGCTCAACCCATCATCGTGAAATATGATTTGTCAGATACCTTTCTTCCCCAAAAAAAAGCCCATAAAAAAATTTTCAACCTTAGATCACAATAACCAATCAAAATAAGAAAGCAGACAAGATACTACCGTTAAGATCGGAGGGGAAAAGTACATCCCGATAGAAATTTCTTTGACCACTTGAAGAGAATTCATCACTGAAGGATTCAAGTATCTTATTTTTTGAAAAAAATAAAACCAAATGTTTATCCTAAACTTTCTCTGGGTCCCCATCTCACATGAAGGAAAGAAGCCTCTTCAGATTCTCCACTCAATTATAGCTCCATATCTGTTAAATCTTACTTTCACTTCTAGTCATCAGCTTGTATATTTCAATTTTATAATGCATATTCTCTCTAAATTGGTCGCACAAATAATAAAATTAAACAAAAAAAAATTAACATGAAAATAGTTTTCTGTTTTGGGCTAGCCTTGCATTTACATGAAAATATCATATTACAGCTTTGAAGATAAAGTAATTATTTGACTATTATTCCTTTTCATTTACATAAAAGTTTCTTATTAGAGTTTCAACAACATAGTCATAGGCTACTACATAAAGTAGTTCATGCCATTCTCTACATGTTTGTGCAAATTGAGCATCACAATGAAAAGCTCAAGATCATTATAATAACTACACAATCACCTTATACACTGCTAAGTCATAAACTACTTATTTTCATGTATTAGCTATACAGCTATATCATTAATAATTGTCTTCATTCTTTGGCCTAAATATTATTTGGTCAAACAATCTAGTAAAAAAGTAAATTGCAGATGCAGTAGTGCTAACTATATGAAAAAAATAAAATTACCACATCCATAAATAAGAACTTACTTAAAAACCCTGTTAAATCCATCAATAGCAGCAGGGTCCTCATTTGAAGGAAAAAAGGGGGATTCTATTTCCATATCCCCATGATCCTGCTTCAACTCACTGTCTGACCCAGAGAAAGTGTCCCCAAACGAGCTCGAATGCTCAGTGGCATCCTGGTCTTCATCTTTCACTGTCTTGACAACGGTGCTGGCAGTACAATCTATGATGTCAATTTCCTCATTCATGACCTCATTGACCTTTGTCAGGGCAGTTGAGGACCCAACATGGAACACACTGTCTTCTCGATTGTTTGAACACATCAATCCTGACAAGTCTTTGGCATCTACCAAATCCCTCTTCTCAGATTTCACGACTACATCCAGTTTTCCCTCATGCAAGTTAAAATCAGCCTTTGTAGGCGCACTCGAGGTACCGACACATAACAAACTGTCTTCGCCTTTGTTCACACACAAGATTCCAGATACATCTTTTGCATCCACCGATTCCCTGTTCTCATATTTCACAGAAACATCAGGTTTTCCTTCGTCGCTGACTCCTGATAAGGCTTGAGCGGGAGCCATGGCACAGAAAACCCAATTCCTGAACTTTCTAAACCTGAAAAGATCAGAACGACTTGAAATCGAACAAGTCTGGAAGCCACACTCTAAGCAGGCAAGTTTCACGACTAAAATACGGTAATTTTACCTAAAACCCAAAATCAAAAATTTGTTGTCATAAGTTGTAATCACCAGGAAAAGAATGAATTGCTGTGGTGACGACAAATCATGAAAACGAGCCAATATTCTCGGACAACAAGTGGTCAGGGGATCAGGAGCAGGGTGGTCAAGCCAAAGGTTTGGGGGTGGCCTGTGGAGAGCTGCTTGTGCCAGACGGCCATATGTCGGTTGGCCCGTCGTTGCCTGCGGCTACATGGATCACAGAGCAACAGTGACGAGGCCGTAGAAGACGATAATTTATATGGATCGGGAATCGGTAATTTGGGAGAACTAGTAGGGATTAAGGTTGTGGCTTCAAGATACGGACTCATAATTGGCCATTGGAATTAGCGATTCGTTATTCCTCTAGTCCTCAATTCCATCGGACATCAAGACATACGGACGCGAAACAAAGAAGAAGTAATCAGCAAAATCAAAACCACGACAGCAGAAGAGAGAGAGGGGGGAGAAATGAAAGTACCTTCGACCAGCTGTAGAAGAGGATGAGGAGAAGGAGCGGGGCAGCGGAAGGCGTCGGCGGCCGGAGGCGTAGACGAGAAGGCTAGGCGGCGCGAGAGAAGAGTCGCGAGGGTTTAGGGCGAAGTGGGCGTGGCCGGCGTTTCCATGCGACAAATCCGATAGGTTTATGGCTCGGTTCAATCGGGGTTCGTGTTTGACCGGGTTAATCCGACAAGATCCGGTCCGTGATCGATGACCTCATTCGAGCGCTTCTTCCATAGCTCATCGTATGCGACATTGTTATTGGATCCACATTCGAATCGGGTCCAAAATTGGTGAAGCCGTCTTCGAGCCGGAAACAGAGATGACAGAGCATTAATTTTAATTATTTTTGTTAAATAATAAAATATTCTTATTCAATGCTGATAGAATTCTTTCTTACGTTTCTACTTTAAGGAATGTGAATTAAAGAAATATATTCCATCATATCTATTCAAAATATACACGTATCTGATCATGAGAAAACTTCTATTTAAAGGTCGGATCAATTAAGTTATGATAGATATTACTATTTAAATAAGGCAACTTCTCGTTATTGATCAATAGAATATAAATAAGTACGTCACGAGTTAATTGACGAACACATGTTGCTTGGTTTGACTTCGTCCTTTCTTCCTGGTAGGCCCGAGTTAGGCTCACAGATGCGATTCCACTTGTCCTTGTTTGGCTTGCTTTGACTTTGGCAATCAAGTCTGACTCTTATTTTGACCATTTGGAATTTATTAGATGATATGATGCAAGGCAGGTCTGTATGTTTTGTATCTGACCGCATAGATAGATGATATGAATGCCCACCAAGTGTACACTTGCCGTTGACCAAAAAATACCATTAGAACAATGGTGCGTTAGGTAAACATCAACTACTAGTCTGCTATATAGATCGATGACCTCGGCATTGATCTGAAGATTGATCGGAGAAGGAAGAATTGATCGGAAGTTGGTCGACTCCTCTATGGCAAGCATCGAGGAGTACCAGAGAAGAGCAGTCCTAAAGCACAATTCGATCTGCTCGAAGCTGAAGATACTGCTTCTCGTTGTATCGACCAATTTGCTTACCGTCCTCCTCTTCTCCTGCACCTCATTGGATTCCCGATGGTCGAGCTGCGGCCTCCGAGTCCATTCGTGGGACTCCGCCGCCCTGTTCCACGAGCTCAACGCCACCCGGAGGGACCTCTCCGACAGCCGAACTCAATCTGCCGAGCTCCAGCGGCGGCTCGCCATGACGAGCTCCCTTCTGCAGACCCTCCTGGCCGAGGTCGGCCGCGCTCGAGAGGACATGGTGGCCGCAGCCGATGGCGTGGGTGGGTCGCGGGACGAGATCCCTGAGGAGCTCAAGCTCGCCATGGGGCCTCACAAGATGCCCCTCGGCTTCACTTCCAACCTCGGCACCGACGAGCTGTACCCGGCGCTCGGCTCCGCTTGCTTCAATTTCCAGAAGGAGCTCGTCGAGTACATGTCCTACGAGGTCGGGAAGGAGTGCCCCATGGACGAAGTTTTCGCGCAGAGACTAATGCTCAAAGGGTGCGAGCCTCTGCCCCGCCGGCGGTGCCACCCGAAGTCTCCGAAAGGATACGTCGAGCCCGTGCCGTTCCCCGCCAGCCTTTGGACGATCCCGCCGGACACCAGCATCACCTGGGACGCATACACCTGCAAGAACTACACCTGCTTGGTTAACAGGAGGAAGGAGAAGAGGGCCTACGATTGCAAGGACTGCTTCGACTTGAAAGGCCGCGAGAAGGTGCGGTGGCTGCACGACGACGGCGGCCTCGCCTACGGCATCGACGCCGTCCTGGGGACGAAACCCCCGGGGACCATCCGGATCGGGCTCGACATCGGCGGCGGCACCGGCACCTTCGCCGCCCGCATGAGGGAACGCAACGTGACCATCGTCACGAGCAGCATGAACTTCGACGGCCCCTTCAACAGCTTCATCGCCTCCAGGGGTCTCGTCCCGATGCACGTCAGCGTCGCCCACCGGCTGCCGTTCTTCGACGGCACCCTCGACATCGTGCACTCCATGCACGTCCTCAGCAACTGGATCTCCGACACGGTGCTGGAGTTCGCGCTGTACGACATCTACCGGGTGCTGAGGCCGGGGGGGCTGTTCTGGCTGGACCATTTCTTCTGCGCCGGCACGCAGCTCAACTCGACGTACGTGCCCATGCTGAGACATGTCGGGTTCAACAAGCTGCGGTGGACGGCCGGGAGGAAGCTCGACCGGGGGATGGCCAAGGACGAGTGGTACCTGTCTGCTCTGCTGGAGAAGCCCATGACCTGAAGAGGAGAATGCTTAAAGAAGAATCAAATCTATGCGAGTGGTACATCAATTGGTGAATTAATAATCTAATCTATGCGTTAAGATAAGTGATGTTGGACTATGATAGAGAAAGATAAAATAATTAAAGAAGAATCAAAGTTAGGCCAGAGTCAATGATCAGGCATCGGGTCAGATGAATCGGGGGATACACCGAAGGATCATATGATGTAGTGAAAGCTCGCTGGAAGTTCACCGGGAGTTCGCCGAAAGCTCGTCAGAAGTTCGTTGGGAGTTCGTCGAAAGCTCGTCGGAGGTTCACTAGGTGTTCGCCGAAAGCTCGCCAGAAGTTCGTTGGGAGTTCGTCAAAAGCTCGCCAAAGGTTCACCAGGAGTTCGTCGAAAGCTCGTTGGAAGTTCATTCGGAGTTCGTCGAAAACTCGCTGGAGGTTTATCAGGGTTTCACCGAAAGCTCGTCGGAAGTTCTTTGGAAGTTCGTCGAAAGCTCACAGGAGGTTCACCGAGAGTTCGTCGAAAGCTCATCGGAAGATTGCCGGGAGTTCGTCGAAAGCTCGCCGAAGGTTATCGGGAGTTCGTCGAAAGCTCATCAAAAGATTGCCGAAAGTTTAATGAGAGTTCGGTTGAATCATTGATGTGCAGGACAACTTAGATTGCATGTAGAATAATTGTTTTAGTTGTAACTATCGTAGTAATGACTTTGATTTTGAGTTAGTTTTAGGAGAAATCATACTAACTCAATTATGAGCCAACTGGACCTTTAACATGATTGAATTAGGTCACTTAGATGGCCCATTCAACTACTTGGAGCCATGTCAGGTGGTGGTACCATCCAAACTGGCTTGTAGAATCACTTGGGGCTTAGCCTCCTAGGTGGTCTAGGTGATAGTACCATTGATAGTTAATGATACCAAGCGATTGTACCACCTTGTTAGGTGATGGTATCACTATAGCCCAATCTTCAAGCTCTATTAGGTGGTCTACTGTCCAGACTAGGTAGTGGTATCACCCAGTGTCAGTTTGTAGGCGATGGTACCACCAGTACCCCGAAACTCAAGATGATATACTTTTTGGCTTCATTTTTGAAGTCATTGGAGCCTATAAATACCTCACTCTTTCCTGTATAAAAAAGCAACAAAAATATAAACAAAAATTTTGAGATTTTGAGTTGTAAAATTGCTAAGTGTCCTCGTCCTCCCTTTCTAGTTTTGAGATCATTCAAGAAAGGTACGAGACATGTAAGGATTGTATCCTGAACTCGTAAAAAGGAAAAAGTGTTGTAAGAGGGTGGTTGGTCTTCACCTATTGAAGAAAGACCGTTAGTGGATGTTGATGACCTCAATAGAGGAGGAATCAAGAGTGGATATATGTTACGATGATCGAATCACTATAAATCTGGTGTGCTTTCTTTTTGTGCCATTTCTTTAATATTTTTCTTTCAAACGTTTACAAGTTTAAACGCCTTCTCGGATACAAACTTTATCGAACGAATTTTTGAATCAATAATTTTTTCATTGAAAGTACTAATTTACCTCCTCTTACTACCAACTTGATCATAACAAAATGTTGTTTGCTCATCAAAGTTTAAGATTTTTATGATAATTAGAATTTAAATTGGTTCACTAGAAAATTATATGAAATTTGATTGACAAAATTAATAAATATATGATCACAGTATTAGCACAACAATGTTGAAATTTTGATGATATTAAATATCATTAAATTGGATGATCTAACTCTCCAACTTTAAATATCCTATAAAATATTAGTAAAATAATTATTAGGTGGAAGCTAATGAGAGTCGCATGAAATAGAATGTCAAATATTTCCAGCAATTTATACGCCATCAGAGTTTACAGGGGTAAATATGTTACTCTGCAAACTTTGAAGGATAAATATGTAAACTCACATTATAATTGTTAGATTTAGATTAATAGAGAGGAAAACTAAAACAAGACAGAAAAATAGAAAGAGGCGGCCCTTCAAAACCCTCACCTTTTTCCCCTTATGCCTCGCCATTAATCCTCCGTTCTCCTTCTTCTCGTGGAGGAACTCCAACGACTCCTCCTTGTCTCGGCAAGAAGCCATAGACTTAATTGGTAACCTAACCCTACTTTTATTTTTTCTCTTATTCGTTTTCTCCCTTTCTTCTGTTCTTCGGCGAGCTCTTTGCTGGCAGAATTGCTGCTCCGCGTCGTTATTGGAGTCCCGGAGCAAGGGCAGTCGGGTCGTCTTCGGCGCGGGAGATGGAAGGGGGCGCGGGAGGCTACAATCCGCGGACGCCGGAGCAGGTCTTTGGAGATTTTCGAGGCCGGCGGGCTGGAATAGTGAAGGCTCTCACAACCGGTACCCAATCATTTTGTCCCCCTTGTTTCTCTCTGTTAGATCTCGCGGTCTGTTGGGTTGGAGTAAATTTAGTAATTTTATGTTTTTTTTCTGTAGATGTGGAGAAGTTCTACCAGCAGTGCGATCCTGGTGAGATCCCTTGCTCTTGATTGGATCCTTTGGCATCAACATTTGTTATCGAATCCACCGGCTTTTGCTTCCTTTCTTGTTTTTGCGGTTTGGTTGCAGAGGAATTACGGGGAGGAAAATCTCTCTCTCTCTCTCTCTCTTCTCGACCTAGGTTCTGGTGGTTGGGATGCTTAGGTGCTTACGCTTTTTCTTTTCTTGGATTCTTTTTTTTTCTCTTTACCTTTCCGTGAAAGCAATTTTTTTGCATATTAGTCCCCGAAATCTTTTAGGTTTTTTGTTAATTCTCCAAAGCTTTAAATTGCAATAAAGCCCTTAAAATATCGTTTTAAGTACCAAAGCTAATCAGATTGGAGTTGCTCATGATTTAATTTGACCCTTATGCCCCTAAGTCATTATATTACTTCTGACGATGATGGAAAGTTGGTTTTTTTCTTTTCTCTATCTTGTAAGAAAGAAATGGGAGATAGTCTGAGGGCATCTTGATTACATTTATGTGATTGTATAATGCATAATAAATGTATGAAAGGTAGCATTGCCCAAAAGATGAGTTCTATGTTGAGTTTTCAGATTGGTTATTGAGTATGAGTTATCCTGCCTAGGGAATGATCTGCTTCTGTATGTTGGATAACAGTGGACTGCATGGACCATCCACAACAAGAAGGACAAATAATGTTGAAGACAAGTTAACAGTGTAGGTTGGAACCAGACGGCCCATTGGTTGACCTCCCACCAAGACTACCTCACCTTGAAACATGAGTTTGATAACTGGAAGAGAGGCTCTTATCTGGGTAACTAAGGGGTGGATATCAGAAATAGTTTCAAATAATAATGGAGAGTAAGGGATAGGAAAATGGTAGAGGGGCATGATGGGAATGGAACTGAGAAGAAATGTCAGGTCATCACAAAGTTAAATAAAACTTTATCTTCAGGCAATATGCTTCTTGAAAAGTGAGGGACAATTAAGTATGAGGAGGCAGATTCTTGAAGGAGAAGATGATGGCATATTCACTTCAGAAGTTAAGGGTAAAATTGCACAAGTTGTTCCACTGCTAAATTAATTTAAAGTGAATAATAGATATTTCAGGTATACTCTTTTCAGGAGTGGTTAAACGTACCCCAAGAATGTACATATAAGATGTTATGTAATTTCAAGGATTAATACATAATATTAAGGATTATGAGGATTAGTAAGAAAATTCAAAAGATTGGAAACAAAGCTGGAATTTCAAGTGTTAAATGGGGCTGGAGACTGAATCTTTTGCGACGTAGATTTCATTGATTTAGTTGTGATGTTTGTACTAGTCTGAATCACATGCCGGCTTTTCACTTAAAAAATATACACCGAAACATGTTTGGTAACTTTAATTATACTTTTTTACTTTTCTGAAAGCACTTTCCTCATTTATAAATATTTGGAAGGCTCATACTTTATAATCCCATATTTTTTATCACTTGCTTGTAAGAGTAAGGTTGTGCACATTATTCCTTCTGAGGCCCTGTATTGGCTGCCTTGTGGGCTGCCCATAATTCCATATTCTTAAGCAACTTTCAACTCTTTTAGCCTCATGACCATCAAATGATCCTTGTAACATAGGCCATTGTTCAATTTTGCACCCTTCGAATGAGACAAAGCTTTGACCACTGAATGCATAAAACTATAAATTATTTTTTGTTATTTATTTGTATGTTTAGATGCATGGAAAACATAAGTGGGGCCTACTGGATGTAGTTTTCAGCTGTTGCATTATTACTGCAATTTTTCTACATACAATAAAATTCTATTACAATGAGAAATTTGTAAACCTGCGGTCTTCCATGCAGTTTGTTTGGCCAAATATCATATGATGATTCCGTAAGTCTCTGATTGTTTTTGCAGAAAAGGAGAACCTATGCCTATATGGATTGCCTAACGAGACTTGGGAAGTGAACTTGCCAGCCGAGGAAGTTCCTCCTGAGCTTCCAGAACCAGCATTAGGTATAAACTTTGCTCGGGATGGAATGGATGAAAGGGATTGGTTGTCACTAGTTGCAGTTCACAGTGATGCATGGTTATTGGCTGTTGCCTTTTACTTTGGTGCACGTTTTGGGTTTGATAAGGAATCAAGGTACTTTAACATCTTTCTTCTGCTTTGCTGATTTATTACTTTGAGATCTTACCATCAAGAACATGTATGGAGCATTTGTCTTTCACTAAAACTTCAATTCCTGGATGTTTATTTGGTTTTTGCAAAGATGTGTTTATAAGTATGCCATACTGGTATTATGCTATTCTCATTTTTTGTTTGCATTTATAATAACATATTTGTGTGAAGCATGCATCTTTGAAGTAGCCTTGATTTCTTTCATTTGTATACAGTGGTTTTGTTAAGTTCTTTAGTTATTTTGTATATCTAAGCATCATTCATGTTAGGAATTATAAAACTTAGCATTAGTTCTTCATTGTGCCTTGTTTTATCTTCTTTATGTACTTATGTTTTGGTATTCTTCATTTTTATCAATAGCTTATATAGTTAAATCAAATGAAAAATTTGAGCTATGAAAAAGAAAAATATCATTTTTGATTTGGTAACATAATTTCTGAGTTTTAGATTTGGAATGGTATTTAAAGAAAAGGCGAGCATGCTTGCAGCTAAACAATAAATTGATAGCTTCCATGTTCTTAATTTTGTGTGTTTCTGTTTATTCAAGTGTATTGAGTCTGCAGCTATACCAGTCACCACGTGGAAGCTGTTTCTCTAGACAATCTGGGAAATATGTAACCTTTTATAAATTACTATTGGTGTTGTTTGACATCTGATGTTCTTAAATATTTTCTGTACACATTTAGGTATCTACTTTACCATAAGAGGATATATTATGGCTCTTGTGCATGTGCAGGGTTATGTACCTTTTATTGTTATAGTGGCATATGTGGAAAAGCTAGGAAAGACTGTTCCAATAACTTCAACAAATAACTTGTTTAGTTCTTTGCTAATGTTGTGAGCTTGTAAAGTGATGCTAGGCTGCCTTGTAATATGCATTAGAAAGCAATACATAGTAAATAGACTGCTCTAGATTTATGAAAAAACCTTTTATATTATGTTTATATATTAATTGTTTCATGCTATATGCAAACTTGCTTTAGTAAAATCTGATTAAATTATGAGAACAAATTTCTGAAAATATTGGGTGCCTCAATGCCCATAATTATAACTTGAGATTCCTCCCCTAAAGTTACAAAAGCCATGTTTGATAAGCCACTGGAAAAAATGATAACCTAACTACCTAAGTCTAACCAACTCAGTTGGACTGGTTCAATCTTTAATCCTGTCAGTTTGATGTGGCTTGACTTACCAATATTCTGTGCAGATATGCTTAGGGGGAGAGTAAGTATACTGCCAAAAACCAGATGATCTGTGGTTAGAATGTACCATCCGGTATGGATGGTACCCTACAATGTTTCATTTATAATTCAGACTAAGATATTATGCAAGTTTATAATATTTCAGGTTGAAGGTCAGAATTATACCTCTCTTCTCTGTTTCTGCTGCTTTAGTTGTATGGTGTAAGCCAAAGTGGAATAATTACATTTTATACTTTAGCAACCTTAAAAGCTAGATTTAGGTTTGGTTTGGTAGGGAGTGTCAAACGACTTGCTCTTGCTTTGCTCGGATTATTCAGGTATCATTTTGATACCTTTTTGTTCTAATGTTCCTTGCCAGTGTCTGAAATTTTGTTTGTACCTATGATTTTTCCAATGATTAGATTGATTCTTTTTTATAACTTTCTAGAATATTTCTGGAATTGGTTGATGCTAATTGAGATCCCCAAATTCCCAATTTTTCATGGGATAGTATGAATTGGATACTAGTACTGCTAACCTTTGGGGGAACCACACTAATCATGCCTCTTGCGGACATACTAATCATGGTGTTTCTGGACATCTTCTGTCCGACACTGATTCCAGCCATTTAACATTTGTTAGGCAAAACCAAGCTGGCTTTGACTTGTCGAAGCCTTTTTCTGATTATTTTAAAAATAAATGTACTTACAATTAAATTCAGATCCTGTTACTAAATTAAATGACCAATCCCAAACATGTGCACCTTGCTCTATAGACAAGTTCTGATGTATCTTTTGAATGATGTAAATCTTGTTTGGTGCTTTAGCTATGGTTTTGACAAGGCTTTGATGGATGTATTTGGGAAGGCACTTCATGTTTTATTGATACACTAGTTTAATTTGAACGAAAACCAGTTAAACAATCAGAAGTTCAAAAGAAGAAAAGTTCGAAGGGTTAAGAAAACTTCGGGCAATCTCTTTCCCATTTATTTTGTGGATGATTAGGAAATTATAGATGAACTCAATGGTGAGGATTTTTGTATGAACTAGGTATATGTTTTTGACCATCTGAACAATGAAATGCTCCATGGAATCTAGTGTTCTGATTTAAATTTATGTTTCTTGATTACATGATTTAACATTAATGAGTGTTGGTAGTTCACTTGCAACAACTTCTTTGTGAGCATTGAAATTTATTGTGTGTTCACCCTTTCAAGTTTATGTTGTTTGAATGCATTGTTTAACATTAATGACTCCCAGCAAAGAATTCTGCCTCTTTTTTGGAAGTAAGAGCATCAGTAAACCTCCTCCCTACTCCCTTCTCCCTCCTCCCTCCTCCCTCTTCTCCCATGCTCGGGTTACCTTAGAATGAGCTAAAGTAACTACTACCTGGATGAGAAACACATTTTCCAAATTCTTGATCCTTGGTAGAGGTAGTCTACATTTTAAAGATATTTACTTTTAAGGTTTAGGCATATCTACTATCCCAGACGACTGCCAAACTTGGTGTCACTTGATTCTCCATATGTAAATGCCATGTCTAATAACATTCTAGTTGTGAAATCATGGATTAGAAATGAAGAGTCAAGTTAGTAAATAAAATAAATTTTAAGCTAATTGAAATAATTTTTATTCTGTACTTGTTACATGCATCGACATGGGTTCTCAATTATTTTGGCAAAATAGGCTTGTCAAATCTTGTTCAGTTTTCTTTAATTTTGCATTTAATTACCATATTCTACTAGCCTTTTCTTTTTCTGCCATACTACTTCTAGTGTTAATGTGCTCCACTAAGAGTCCCTAATCTGGTAATCATACTGACTACTGAGTGTACCCTTCTACATGAAAATTCTTTCTTTTTGGAGTGAGTTCTGATGTGTGTGTATCTTGAAGTTAGACTGGTGAACTTGTACCAGTCTTGCATGTTTTGCTGACTGGTGTGCTATGCCATACTAGATCATGATTTGCTGAACTGCTAAATTCCAGCTTGTATAGGTTCTAAAATATTACTAATAATAATGATGGTTTTCATCCATGCTTCTGTGGTGCCATTTCCTTCAACACATGTATCACATCAAACAATTGATATGACAGATTGGACCATATCAAGGTCTAAGTGAGCATCAGTAGATCTCATTTCTTGCTGAAACATCATGTTAGCCTCTAATTACATAATTACACTTCTTTTTGGCATTTGATATTGGAAACCACAGGACATGCTGCTTGATATCGGGTACCATTATAATTGCAGGAAGCGGCTGTTCAACATGATTAATGGTCTTCCAACTATATATGAAGTTGTGACAGGAGCTGCCAGGAAACAACCGAAAGAGAAAGCTCATAGTAGCAATGGCAAGAGCAACAAGTCTGGTTCAAAGGTCGTATGGATAGACTGCTTGGTATAAATTGCTCCTTTGCCATTGATATGTGGCTCACTTTTCCTTTTCCCATGCCGCCTCCATTTTGTTTTCAGCCTTCAAGATCCTCCGAGTCCCATGCAAAGACCTCAAAGATGCCTCCACCGAAAGAGGAAGAGAGCGAAGGAGAGGACGAGGACGAGGAAGAGAACGGAAACACTCTATGCGGTGCATGCGGGGACAACTATGGCAATGATGAGTTCTGGATATGCTGCGATATTTGCGAAAAATGGTTCCATGGGAAATGTGTTAAAATTACTCCTGCACGTGCCGAGCACATAAAGCAGTACAAGTGCCCCGCTTGCAGTACCAAGAGATCCCGAGTATGAAGACAGACGATGAACAGGCATGTGGTTTCCGGCTTAAGAGATTAGGGCTTCAGAAGGGACAACCATTTTGAGTGCAGCAGACCGTGGGACCGCAAATTGGAGTCTCCTTGACCCTACTTAAAGACTAATTCATTGCTGTTGATTATTCATAGATCTCTAGAACTAGCAAACTAGATCTGCTGCAATTTCCTTGCGTCTGAACATATCTTTAGCTTTTCCTATGAACACATCTGCGGTTGTTTCCGTGTCTGTTTGTGTTTAAGATTTGTGATAAACCTGTTTTGTTTCTTTGTAAACAAAGCCCTCCTTATGGTGGAACTTTCATGTTGTTTTGCCAATCTCTAATGCATTTAGCTCATGTCTTGAATCGTAGGCTTCTTTTAGAGATGTGAGTTATGGGTTTCTTAATGTTCAACATGTCTTGTCTGCCTATAAAACCATTTCTGTAAAGAAACCCTACCTATTTTCATCAAGTTGATGCCATTTAACAGGATTTTACTGGAACAGCTCCTAAATATAAAGGTATATATATAGAGGTAAATCTCATATTGATTGGTGGATTGGATAGACTTAATTCTCCCGAACTGAATCCTTCCAAAATGGATCGGATCTAACAATGATAATTAGATTCTAATTCATATCTAAAGCCAAACCCAAATGAATCAAAGTTAAGATGGAGGCTTAGTTGGCTTCCGTGTCTAAGCTAAGCGACCAACCACATGAGTAAGGCCTCCCATTGGTCGGTATCCGTGGTTCCCACAATCTTGCCGTCCTTCCCACGGTGCGAGGGCTCGGGATAACCCCTTCGATTTGGAACCCTAAAAAGATCATTTTTGTTCTTCTTCTTGTTCCTCGGAAGGCTCGAGATTCCCGCGGTAGAGCGTATATTTCTGTGGGATCACGGCGTTTCCACTTCTCCCAGGATCATTAACTGCTCTGCCTCCGGGAGTCCGGCGCATTGCGGAACTCTCCAGCGTGCTTTGCCTTCTGCTCTCGTCCGTTGCCATCGTTATGCTGGATGCATTCCGTTCTTCGACTTGGGGATTCCAGGTGATTCTCATGCTTATCCTTCCTTGATCATTTTATCGGTCGTCGATGGGTCTTTCTTTCGTTCTTTGATCGCAAGTAGTGTCGCTTCAACGCGCCATTGTGAGCGGATTGCCAAGCTTATTCGCATAACGGAAAGACAAGCTTTTCTTGGTACGTGACGAGGGTGCCAAAGATCAACTCTCTATGGATGTTTTCATGTACCAACAAGAATTTGCGTGTATTATTCCGTAAACTATTCTCGAATGACCAATATATTGCTTCAAGGCTAGCGAGGGTAATCGTTCGCCACTTCTATGGTAAGCTATTCTTTTCGGAGATCAGTACATTTCTTCTCAAAATTTAAATGATTTATAAAGTCTTATCATAGAACTCTATCTAACTTGTATCTATGTTGGTTGTTTTAACAAGAAATTGAGAATTTTATGCTGTAGATTGCAAGATCAGGGAGTGTTAAATGTACATTCTCATCGTACCGCTCGTTCACCTAAGCTTGGATTATACCACATGACCATTGTCATGATTGTAAGACCCACCTGTTAGTTTAGCCTTGACCATAACACATAGTTCTTCCATCTACAATTTTTGGCTCTGTGAAAGTCTTCTAGAAATTTAGTTGTCTTTTATAAGTTTTCAGTATGCTTATAAATTAGTCCATTTTCCAATTCTCTACTAGTATGCTTTGCAAAGATTTCTGAATGTCAAAACTCTTAACATCTCAATTTACCATAGAAAGATTAGTTAATTCACATCGAGTTAGATATATTGCTTTAAAAATTTATAGACATGACCCAACTTAAAATTTATCATCATGATAATAATATTGGATGATTACATGTGAAAATAATGTGAAAAGCCTACATGCAACATGATAAAGAAAAGAGCTCGACTAATGCTTTGGTTGAAAATCATGTTTTTAGCTTTACCATTAGCTATAGTTGTTAGTTAGAAACAGTAGCTGGAAAGTCGATAAAATGACCTTTCTGTAATGGTAAAGCATGAGAAAAAAATTTATTGGCCAACTAGTCAACTACTATAAGTTTACATATATTCTAATTAGTAGAAATTGTGCATTTGTGGAACACTATTTGAGTTGCCTGTACAATAGCCATGCACCAATCTGACATATAGAATGATAAAGTGTTTGAGTTTGCTGCTAATGTCCCAAAATCTTTGTTCCTATCTGAGCATTAGAAATTAGGTTTCAATTAAAGATAGATTATACTTGTGGACGAACACATAAATATGTATTTGGACCAGTAAGAATCGATCATGTGACATCACCAATAGGATCAATCTCGTAGTACTCATCATGGAATAAATGTTTGAATGATACATGTCGGCATTTGATGATTACTAATGAGGAAGGTGGTGAACCATTATTTTACTTCCCTGCATGATTTACTACAGCATCCTCCAAAATTTTAATTAGTGGTTTGCTCCCACATCTATGTCCTTCATCGACAGGCGTGTTGCCCCACCTACATTTACAAGTACAAACTTATAACATGACTTTTATTGCTACTAATGAACTTTGATAGGAAAAAAATTGAACTCAAAATCTGTCTGCACTGCTGATAAATCATTAACGTAGACAGCAGAAAAATGAATTTTAGAAGGACAGACACATTCTTATAAAGATAACTATTCATATTAGTCTATCACGATGGACAGCGATGGCTTGGGTTTTAGTCATTTGGTCGAATTGGTCATTTTATTAGTATTTCAATATTTTCTTCCTTCTTTTCATATTATTTAAAATGGTGAATGATTGTTATACATATTTCCTTTCAAACCATTCAAACCCTTTGTTTTCTCTCTAAACCTACTGCATGATTTGTATGATTTTTATGTTTCTGCACCATATGCTTTAAATTTGAAGGATCATTTAATTTCTTTTATCCTGCTATTCTACCCTGAGTTGCATCTGATTTATACATGATTATATATGCTTAAAATAACCATCGGCATGAAATAAATGAGTAGAATTTCCAGTCCTTTCACCTTAATTCAGTGTGTTAAAATCACTGATATCACTAGTCACCAAAACTAATGGATAAACATGAGCTATTGGAAGCGCATTAAATTTGCATTTGGAAGTAAGAAACAGATATCAAATTGCATTATAATACTAGCCAATAAAGCAGTTATTACCTATCTTTAGAAAGAACATTTGCTCCAAACTCGATTAGGATATTGGCCATCAGATGCAAACCTTCTGAAGCTGCAACATGTAGTGGTGTTCTCCGGTCATAGTTTTTGGAATTTGGGTTGGCCCCATATTCCAGCAAACATCGCAATAAATCTATATTGCCATTCGTCACAACTTCGCATAGATAATTCCCAGCATCATCCAGATTCAAGATTGCACCATTTTCCACAAGAATGGCAGCAATCCTGTCATTTCCTGTCTTCAGGGTTTCAAATAGTGGAGAAGTCCCAAACTTGTCTGCATTGACGAAAAAGCACTATATATCTGATCCTTATAAAATTAATAGGAGACTACTTTTAAATTTGGTAGCTTCACCTACCAATGCAATTGGTGTTGCTTCCTCGTTGTATAAGAAACTTCACAACTTGTTCATGTCCTTTGCATGCAGCCATATGCTACAGAAAAAAAGATGTTATTATCAGTAAAATTCCCTCATATCATAAATCTATATATCTTGTTATACAACATATAACTGGAGTTTCTATATGCACTATCTTGTAAAACAAATTAATTTGCAAGTTATATGCTTGTTTGTTCTCCTGCAACATGTAATATCTTACAAGACATGCAAACAGACATGTGAGCAGATGTGTCATATTTTAGCTGATTGTTCTATGGCAATGATTGGTTTTAGAAGATAAGCCTGTTGTACCATGCTTGATCAGTAAAATTGTTGAGGGAATGATTAGAAACAATGGGCTAAAAGCCTAAAAGTATTTTTTTTCTTCTCTAGTTATGATGCATAAATTTTGAAGGATGAAATTTTGATGAAATGAAAATGAGCAAAAAGAAGCTTGGTGATATTGCTTGTAAAAGTAAAATCAAATACAAGTGCAGTTCTCCCATCATAGTCAGTTTTGTTTGGATCTGCTCCAGCATTGATTAAGACTTGTAGACGGCTAATGTCTCCATGGTAAGCTGCACTGTTGACCCCCAATGCTAGCTCAGCCTCTTGCTTTGAGATGAGATATTTGATATCTGGCTCCAACTGCTTGATACTCAGTTCGCTTCCTTTCCCCTAGGTTTTGCAAATAATTAACCTCATAGAAAGAAGATACCTGCTTGTTGCTTATTTCAACTTTGTAAAAATAGCTGGTTTCTTCTAGTCTTTTTACCTTCAGTAAATTGACGAGCATCTGATTTCCATCCTTGAAGTATAGCTGTGATATGTTTGCTAAGGATTGCTTCTCTATTCGCAGGAGTCTACACAGCTCACAAACGCGCACTGTATATCGCTGTGGGATATTGCACAGTGCAGCAGCATCACCCAATGCATCATAGGTTGTAAGTTTGGCAATTGATTCTTCTGAGCCATCTTCTCGGACAGCAACTGCCTCCTATGTGGAAAAAGAAATTTCCTATTTATTCAATTGCTGCTTTGTTATTTCTTATTTGCTCCTATAATACCTATGTTGCCTTTTTACACAATATAATTAATGTACATTGGTCAAGTTTACATTTCCACCTTGAAATGAATGGAACCTAAGGCTACAACAGTCTATTCTGACTCTGTTGTTTTAGGAAACATCTCTCCGGATTGAACCAGCATGCCATTGACATTAAGGTAGTTGTAGTGATAAAGCCTTTTTATGCCTTATGAGAAATCTTGGATGAAGTTCATTGGGGATTATTTGGTGCTGGTGATTTTAATAAACCAATACAGGCGAAGATTGATACTTTCAGATTTGGTTCCGAGATTTTATAATAAAAGAGGTTCAGACTTCAGAGCATAAGGTAAACTTCTATTTGATGACATTATTGGTCTCAAGAGGCATCATAGGATGTGCTAGGATAGTTTTTCATCCTGAGAGGTTTGGTAATATTATTTTATAGCATGTGCTAGGACAGTTTTTCATGTGGATTACTGCAGAAACTTAACAACTTGGATTGCAGTTCTAAATTTCTAATAACTTTTCTTCAACCAGAGTTGTCTGTATGCCTTTTTTCCATAGTTAATTGTTAGAACGTCCACAAGTCTTTTCTGCTGAAATAGGAAACTGGTTTACATCATTATATTTGTTTAATTTCTCTTTCTCATTTCCTACCAATTCTAAGTTATTCACTGTACTGATAGAGAACTAACTTTATGCCACTGATCTTATTTGAATGATACTGACTCTTCATTTTAATTCTAGCTTTCTTACATCGTGAGAAGCTCGGCACTTACCAGATATCCTAATAATATAATATAGACTTGATCCGCAGGACTTCCTTGTTCTATGACCACTTCTCCTGGGAGGAAGAATTCTTCATTCAGCATCATTACCTGCATTCAGTGTAAAAAGTTTCGTAACACTAGATTTGTGTTATAAGTTCTTGTTAAATGCGTAATGGCAAATAAATAATCTCTAAAGTGGTATATTGCAAAACATACAATCTGATTAAGGAATTCATCTGAACATCCTTGGAAAAGTGGAACTTTCTGGATCACATCAAGGTATAGAATTTGAGATATCTGCAAAAGTATTTTGTAGAATAAGTTTAATTACTATAACAAAAGAATGATTATATTCTGTAATTAAAAATAACTTTCACGAAAACTGATATGTTTTGTGATGCTAATCATGACCAAGTTCTTATGATTGTGCAAAAGAATACTTGTACTTTACTGACAGTAAACAGGAAACCGATATTAGGAGCAATAAACATTAAATATCCATGATAAATTTAATCAAGGAATTATTGCCTTTCACTTTAAAAAAAAAATTCGTGAACCCAAATATTTTATCAAAAATCCTTAATGTTGTTTGTTTTGACAATTGTTGCAAGGCAGAAAATGAGCCAGAGATGAACTGTATTTCCTCTGCCATATATGAATAGGATCATAGTTAGCTTGCTTCTTTTTCTTCTTAGAATTTCTGATGTTATGAAATGTCTGGCAAACTTTCATTTTGTTTCTCTTTATTTCATTACATAAGGATGCACAATTACCTTTGATCGCAAGGCCATTGGGACGTCTTCGAGAACACTTTCTTTGTTGTAGCTACTTTCATACTGTAGTCTTAAATGGTTTTTGATCTGAGATCTGATGTCTTTCCCAAGTTTGTTTCTGTTCATGTACTTGATGAGGTCTGTCATTTTGTCTCGAAATTGCTCAGTCTTGGACCCCTTGACAATCAATGCAGTCATATTACCGATCAGATAGGCGCCAAGTATCATGGTCAGAGAAATATATATCATGCTGAAAACCATCTCTCTAGTATTCACAGCATGTACATCACCATACCCTGCAATAGTATTGGCATGATATGACAAAAAATGTCAAAATTCAATGGATGAAATGGTAAATCTCAAATCTCATTGAACATTTGAATTGGGATTCTCAGAATAGGGCAATTCCTTTTTCTGTCAGAACATAGCTTGAGGGCCTCCTTCTACCAAAACCCAAAGTAGTTTAGCTGCACCCTGAAGAGTATGAAAGTAAAAAAAAGAACCTTTCAGGACTCACCAACTGTTGCCAAGGTACCTATTGAGAAGTATAATGAAGTAATGTATCGTCTCCAGAAGTCAATCTCTCTGAAGTTTGTGTATTGATAGTCACCCATCGACAGGCTTCCAATCCATGTATATCCTTCTTGTGCCGGTGGTACTGTTGTTGCTAGGTAATAGAAAACACATGCGGCCGTGTGCGTGCAGTATAGCTCGACCATTATAAGCTTCACGATCCTTGTGAAGAGGTAGTTGATTTTGATGTCCTTCTCCATCGTTTTAAAGAATTGATTGATCTTCCTTGCCCGAAATATGCGAACCCATATGAGAAACCGAATTGCTTCTACTCCCATCATCTGTGTTAAGTAAACATATGAATTATGTGTTTATAATATTCAAGCTAAACTCGCTTTATACTTTACCTTGTAGATGGAATCCCAAGGAACACATCCAAGAAGATCAACAGCGAAGCTACCCTTCAGATAGCTGCAACACAGGAATCAATTTCCAGTCTTAAGTCCCAGACAAAGTGTTCATTTTTGCAGGATTATATTAAAGTATGCAATGGTAACCGATCAAAGGTGTTATGAACTAGTGGTTTGCTGCTTTTGTCCATTTATATGCAGTGATTGAGCTTCTCCAATCTCAGGGGTAAACAGTGTTGGAAGTGTCTCCACTTCTACATGGATGAACTGTCCTATAACTGGAATGAAAGGTGTTCCTCCTAAAGGATACTCGTAAATGAGAATTGGCATTGAAATGGCTCTATCTTTTGTGTCATGGTGTCAACCTTGTTGTCATTCAAGCTGGTGGATAAGTTGTATCAATACTTGGTTTCATGAGGTGGTGGGTGGGTCTCGTACCCTAACGTAATCTAGCAATATGCTCTTAGTGCAAGCAGGTCACCTTCCTTGAGTCTTAACAGCATGTTTCAGCTTTCATGTCTATGTAAATTGTCCAAACCTTCATGAACTCATCAAATAGACATGTTCTAACTTGCGACTGTATGATGCTTTGTGCATAGTATTTTTGTTGGTGTCGTCGAGACGTCAAACATGATGATATGGGATGACCATCGACTGTGCTGGTTTTAATCAGCTGTACAAAACGAGTGCACCTACCAAAGCATAAGCATTGCCAAATAAGCTCAATTTACCAAACAAATATTAATGATATAGCTCACGAATCCAGCATGATCACCGGAAACCATTGTTCATGTTGGACTTTGCAGTGCGAGTGGCATGGGTGAGTCAGTGCTGAGCTCATGCAAACTGCGAGGAGCAAGCTTGCATGCAGAACTCAATACAGGACGTAATCATGCGTACAGGAGTCATTCAATGCATGCGGAACCTCACGTAGCATCTGCTCTCACCGCAAGGCGATGCGTCTCCTATCGCAGATCATCTTGTACGTGTGCGCGTCCCTGTACGCCACAAAGAACTGAAACACTACATCAGCAAGGAAGATGACCTGCACGCAGTCGAGGTCTTTTAACAGCTCCGGCAAGCCTCGGAAGAAGCCGAACTCCAGTGGCGTGAAGAAAGCGGAGTAGATGGACCAGACGAAGACGACATCCACCCATATCCTGTACGACCTGCTGAAGCATGATGGCTTCCTACCTGTTCAGTATCATATCCTATCCAAACCTTGTGGAAGGACATGCATGAAGTAGCTGAGAAGACAAGGATACAGTCTGATATGTACGTGTATACCTTCCATTGGGATTGATCACAAAGCTTCTATAGCAATCCCTTGAGACCTTCAGCTTAGTACCGCTACTCCACTTCCTGTTTCCAAGTCCATACTCCCTACTGATCCAAGACAGCCTGCTGCCAACAGACCCTTCGATGTTATCCGCCACTTCGTTCAGCTCAAACTCTCCATTGACCTCTTCACCCATTCTCTCGCCCCCTTCCCTTCTCAGCTTCCGCATGCAAGAAGAGGGAGAAGGATCCTTTATACAGCTACGTGGGTGGAGATTGCAGCATGCATTACGGCCACTAGCAGATGATATTGGTTGTTTTAAGGCTCTCAGAGTTCGTTCTATTTATGTCATCACCTCACTTCATACGTGACATGCACATCAAGTCGACCTACACACACACACACACACACACTCGAGCAACTGCTTACATCTACTTCCTGCGTATCGACTGTGGTTCAGGTACAAGGATAAGTAGAAGAACATGCTGCAGGCTGTTGTTGAGATTTATGTGGTGGATGCTAAAGGTTGAGAGGCCAAAGATGCTAATCAAGTTTGCACCACTAGAAGAAACCCATGGATTAGTTCAAGGACGTACGCTTGTGCTCCACCACAGAGAAAGAGTGATTAGTATACAAGTGTCTCGAGTGGAAGGGCATTTAAATTAGTAGTGAGATCCGTATGGTTGGCAACCAAACATCAAAGAATACAAAGATTAATGGTATGGCTGTGCTACTTGTTATTAGGTCACAAATAACTCGATCAGAGAAGACAAACCACTTCACTTTCTTGACTTAATTTTATGAGACCAGTGGGAGAGATATGTTTAGGAATCCAACATGCATGAGAAGTCAGCTAACTTGCTGTAATCCCAAAGTGGTCAGCCAGCATCACTGAATGCCACTGTTGGTGGTGCAAGAACAATGCCCACTGTTTGGTATATCACCTATAATTAATGCTATTGTACTGTATCAGTTGGCTCTCAGGATGCCTTATGGTCTGAGATCAAATTATATTAATTAGGATCAAAGTGAGTGCACTTAGCTTTGCTAAAGCATATTTGTGTGGATTAAGTTTCTGTCTAAGCATCAGATTGTTGGTTTAGAAGACATGTTGCTGGCTTTTCAATGCAGCAAATCATTTTGTTCTGGTCATTTGTGTTCCAAAGATCATAAACTATGGAAAGTTGATGGGGATTGAGAACCTTGCATAGGAAGAGTGACAACTGTGTTTCTCTTTCATTTCGGTGTGATTCTTCATCTTCAGGATTCATTTATGTAGGTCCACATTAGCAGAGTTAGTCTTGCATAGCTTTGGAAACATCCAATACCACTTAGTGCTTTTGATGAATTCAATTATTATATACTTAATTTTATATAATAATTATTATATGTAATATTTATATTATTCAGCTAATAATTATAGGATGATTTCTCTAGAAAATATCCTATTTTGGGCATTTTCCAAATCTTTTGTTTTTATTATCAAACAATACCCTTAATTTAAAAATATCCAAAAATATCCGTCGAAGATTTTCCCAAAAAATCTTTCCTTGTCTTTTTTTTTTTTTTTTTGCCAATTTTGAACTATTAGAGTATTTTCATTTGGCTCGTTTATATTATTTTTCAATAACATTTATGGTATTTTATTGATATATTAAAAATATTAAAAATATTTTTAAAGAATACTGTAAATGATATCGTATCATGTCTCTTTGATTGTCATTGCACATAGACCATCAAAATATTATATTCTTTATTTTTGAGTTAGTCTATTTAAATTATTTATAATATTTGTAAATAAGTTTATAGTATTTTTGTTGTGACGATCAAAACACTGTAATAAGTCAATAATAGACCAAATCACTATAAAAAAAAAAGAGGGATAGTTTGAATTTTTTTAAATTAGAAGTATTATTTAAGAAATAATAAAATGAAATGTATCAATAAAAATAATCTAAAATGTGAATATTTTTTTAAGAAAATCGTTCATAATTATATGTAATATTTATTATTTGTGGGATCGCATGAAGTAACCATTTGGGTTAATTGGGCCCAAAGAAGTGGGTTTATATGGGCCTAATTAGGGCCATCTTAATCTTAATTATAATAGTGCCGTCTCGGCCTGCTCTCTCCACGTTCACGTTTGGAGTTGACGACAAAAGGAGGCGGACCGGAAGGAAAGAGGAGTGGAGGATGGCGAAGCCGTTGGGGCCGACGGGGGAGTTCTTCCGCCGGAGGGACGAGTGGAGGAAGCACCCGATGCTCACCAACAACCTGCGCCGCGCCACCCCGGGCCTCGGCATCGCCCTTGTAGCCTTCGGCATCTATCTCGTCGGCGAGGCCGCCTACAACCACTTCCGCGGCCCCGACCCCCACTCTACCTCACACCACTGATCGTGGAACTGGTGGATGATGCGTGATCACTCGTTTCCCCCTCTTTAAGGTCTCTCCCCGCTTTCTTCCCCTTCCTAAAAGAAACGATTTTGCGAAGGAAAGTCCTTTTGTTGGTTTATGGACCGTACTCAATTTTGGATCTTTTCTCGAAAATTTTAATTTGCTGATGAAAAATCGTTTTATTGGTCTTTTTAGGGTTTGACTGATTCGTTATTGATCGATTAGGGATTTTGTTAGCATCAACATTGTCTTGTAAGTTGCCATGCTATCCTGATCTTGTTGGCCGTATGGTTCCTTTGTAGTTTATGCTTGGAATCGAGGCAATAGAGACGTTATGACCAAACCTTTGCGATATTGATTATTGTCGTTTGTAATGATTGATTTTGAAGTCAACTTTAAATTGATCATTGGAATAGCATTTGAAACCCTCATGGTTTGCTGATCCCGTTCTTATGGCCACAGTTTCTTGGTCCATCGGGCTTGTTGAGGTTTCTTGCTTCTCTTTATTTGTTTAGGATAATCTGATACTTGGTGACAAAGTTTTATCTTTGCGAAATTCATGATTTATCTTATATTATCTTTTCTATAGATTTCCCATTTGCTCGTCTGATGAAGCTTTTCTTTTTAATGCTTAAGTGGTCGATGAACTATTAAAAATTTGACTAAGCAATCAAAGAACAGAATCTCGATGGTTAGGCTTCTGACAAGTCATCAAGGATCAACATAAGTTCTTTTCGTGATGCAACCAACAATTCCAAAAAACAACACAAATATGTCCAGTGTTATATGTTCAAGAAATGATATAAACAAATATCAAGAAACTTTAAGAGGGCTAAGGTTGCTTCTCTCTGACCTCCATCACTAAGGTTCAGGCCTCCTTGGTTTTAGAGCTAAGGTCGCTGCATACCATTGAGTCTGTGAAATGATGGGAGAAATTTTGAGAGGGCCCTTTCCATGGTGGTAAGGTTGCTTCTTTCTAACCTCGATCACTAAAGTTCTGGCCTCTTTGCTTTTAGAGCTATGGTCGTTGCGTACCATTGAGTCTGTGAAATTATGGGTTTATAAAGTATAGTTAATCATGTGGGACAACATTCTTTACATCAACCAATTCTAATTTATAGATGAAGGGTTATAAAGGTGATGGAGAAATAAATATGCTACACAAAAAGTTGAAGTGAAAACTTAAAAGACTCCGAAGCCTAGCTAAGTGAATTATTCTAGAAGATGATAAGGAGATTGATTTGTGGCTTATTGGACATGCTACAAGAGAAAAGAGGTTACGGCATGTGCAGTTGATCGCCCGCATCTATATTTTGTTGATTAAAAAAAATCTACCTTACAATTTGACAACCAGATTAACAATCTTTATTAACTTAGACAGCATGTAACTTCTAAAGACCAAAGTGAGAATTTAATCAACAACAATTATATCTAATTTTATCAAGTGATTTTGACCTACTGATGTAGAATAAAGTAGAGAGAAGAGAGAAATAGAGAGAAAGCAAGAGAGCAAGAGAAGAGTATAAGAGACTAGGAGAGAGAAGATACAAGCCTTCTTTTTCATTCAAATCTAAAGTGTTTGATCCATTAACAAGCTCCACTATTTATAGGGGTTTAGGAGCCTCGTTACAATTAATGAAGACAATGATTTCTAAGAGTAATCTCCTATTGAATTAGTATGTCTTTTAGAAATCCAAAATGTGACTTTTATGATACCTAAATAGTAAATGAGTGCACTTAA